TCTCACCCATTTGAAAATGTTAAATTAACAACACAGAGGTCCGCAATTAAGAAAAACTGCGGCTCAACTTTCGCTCATAGTCGCAGGATCACTCTTCACGAATTTCGATTTCCTGTATTTAATCCTGCTTCCTTTGTGACATCCGTTCAGCAACCTGCGTCTCAATTTGCGCCCCGCCGCATATTTATAAACCCTATAAGGATTCAGATACCTCAGCTCTTCCTGCCCGCTGGGGAACTTCGGTCGTTTTTAATTTTAATTTAATAATACATATATATAATTAATAATTATAATTATATATATAAACAAAATTATTAATTTTGTTTTAAATACTTTTTTACAGTCAAACAATACTGTCAAAAGGCAAGAGGAATAAGTGCTAAGTATAAATAATTTAAGTAACAATAATAAAATAAATTGTAAAAATAAATAAGAAAATGATAATAATGAATTTTTATTAAAAATATTGTAGATATTGATTGGCAATAATTGAATCATTTTTCGGTTGTTATAGTTCCTGAAAATACAGGTAGGCTGGGGTGACAGAATATAAATTCACATAATTTTTAACATAACCCGAGAATAGAACTCTATTCTACAACAAACCTCAACTAAATTGATAAGAATTAAATCTTATTAAACAAGGAAGATTTTATCAAAGTGGGGTATTTGTAGGATGATAAAAAAATATCACAAATCATAGGCGGATCTATGGTGGGAGGGGCTATCGGGCTGAAGCCTCTCTCCCGAAAATGGTAAAATCTAACCATGTTTATGGTAAAAAAATTATCTCTTAAAGTATTATTGTTCGTGTAATTACATTTAATAGGACTTCAAGAATCACTTAAACACCATTAGTTAGTTAGTTAATTATCAAAGTAATTATCGTTACACATACATTTATAAAAAAAAAGCTTTCTGCTGAAGCCTCCCAAAATTAAATCCTGGATCTGATGTGTCACAAATTATCCACGATTTAATGAAAAACGCAACTTAGCGTAGTTTGGCCACTCAAAAGTCCCCTTTTAAATGGTTATAACAAAGACAAACTATTTGTATTTGAAGGACATTGTTTCTAGTACATTACTATAAAATTAATTACCTGAATTAAAAAATGTTTGTATTTCGCTTATATACATTGAATGATTTTTTTTTTTTGGTGGAAATTCTGCCTAGAATCAGGTCCATATTCGTTGCTATTTTAATAATGTTAACAAATAAAATATTACTTTTATAATTATTGCTATTTAAAATATACAAATTATTATTTTTTTAAAAATTATTTATACTTTGCCTTTTTGACAATATAATGTATCAGGGCTGGCCCACCATGTATATACAGATTCAGACATCTCAGCTCCGCCTGCTCCTTAGGAAACTTTAATCATTTAAAATTAATGTTATGTAATATATACAAGCAACATAATTAATTTTAACTGACAAAAAATACTGTCAAAAGGCAAGAAGAATAAGTGATAAGTGTAAATAATTAGGAGCACTTTTTATTAAAAATATTTTAGATATTAATTGGCACTAATTAAATAATGTTCTCAGAAAAATGGATGCTCCAATGTTTAGAGGTAGGCCAATAGGAAACAGAAGTGGTACAAATTTACCTCTATAAGTTTCTGTGGATGTACTGTGGACACAGGCTGATGTACGGGAGGTGGGTCTTTTGGGTTGAAGCCACCCTTTTCCCCCGAAATTATAAAATATATCCATATTTTACAGAAAAAAAATATTAAAAACTATCTTTGAAAGTATTCTTGTTCGTGTAGTTACATTTAATAGAACTTCAAGAACCACTTAAACACCATTTCATATAGGTACATAATTTCTTTCTTTTTTTTTTCTTCAAATTAATTATCGTTATATATTTTGTTGGCAAATAAGTCCTTTCGGGTTTTCAGGATGAAATAAAACTCAATGTATCATAGACATAAAATTCATTTTAATCTACAATATATTGACTATTATTTAATATGACTTTTCCCCATCTTTCCACAAACTGCAGTAGCTAGAGAGGGTTGGGCAAAAAGTCCCATTCAAGGTTCAATAATTTATTGCGCATGACCAATGAAGTGTGGGGTGTCTACAGCATTGTCTTGGTGAAACACAAAACCCTTCCGATCATTCATAACTTTTCATGATGTTCTCCAAATTCGATATTACTATATCCGTTGGAAAGCTGAATTATTGCTCTTTAAAGCCGTATTTGTTTTTTTTATTTAATGCCTACATAAGAAATAAATAAACAAAAACTACTTATAGGTTTTTATTTTTTATCCCCCTTACTAGTTTGTTTACGAAGGTCCTGTTGATGTCATTTTGTGTAGTTTATATGGCCCTAAATTCCTGCTAAATTTATTGTAGATAGTTAAAGTTGTATTGAAGTTATAACATTTTTTGTGATTTTAAAAAAAAAATCATGTGAGGGGCCCAAACATTAAGCCCGGAAACATAGCTAAGATTGAGCAAATGATTTTCAGTTTCTACGCTTGTGCGCAACACATTTAGGGCCACAGCAATCTCTCGCACTGATTGGGTGGAATTTTGATCAACAATGGCCTTAACATTGCTCATTTAAATTTCATGTTGTTGACTAGACCGTTGAGCATTGGTGTCAAAATTTCCTGAATGAAATTTGGCAAACCACTTTTGACAGGTGTGTCTGGTTAAGGCATCATTCACATAAACACTGCAAATTTTTCTATGAGCTTCTGCACCACGCTTATCCTTTTTAAAATAATACAACAAAATATGTCGATGATGAATGATATTTTCTTTCATATTCACAGTGTAATAGCAAACACAATACTAAGCTAGTTTCTACAAGAGTTAACAGATATAGTTGTTGACATATTACAAACAGAATAAATAATCCACCTTAGGGATTAATTCATCAGATAAGAAGTGTACCATAGTGATATAAAAATAAACAGAAAAACCGAAAGGACTTATTTGCCAACCCAATATATATATGAAAAAAAAAAGCTCTCGGGCTGAAGCCCATTAAAATTAAATCTTGGATCCGCTAAAATTCTACATTAATTTTCATATTAATAAATATTGCTCAAATTTATTATTGAGACTAACAATATAAAATAATTTTATTTATGAGACTAAAAATCTAAGTAGAGATAAATATAAATTTATTTAAAATAGAATAAAAAATATCCAACAAAGGCAATTAAACTTCCATTTTTTCTTTAATCTTTTTTAATCACACCTGACGTTTCGGGATAATTTTCCCATCTTCAGAAATTCCTTTATATTTACTTGACTAAGTAATGTGGCACCAATAGTCAAAAATTACAATAACTATCATATCTATATTTAAATATAATACTTTTTTTGGTGTTACACAATAATGGAACTTGAAATAACCAAGTGTTGGTTGGTATAGTTATATATAGAAAATGAATGCATAAGACCAAAAAAAGTATTATATTTAAATATAGATATGACAGTTATTGTAATTTTTGACAATTGGTGCCACATTACAAAGTCAAGTAAATATAAAGGAATTTCTGAAGATGAGAAAATTACCCCGAAATATCAGATGTGATTAAAAAAGATTAAAGAGAAAATGGAAGTTTAATTGCCTTAACTTAAAAAATATAAACCGAAGCTTCCTAGAAAAAGAAAAACAAGAAGATATATATAAATTTACTTTATCAAGAGTTAAATTTAGAATCATTTTTTTCTCAATCCTATTGTTTGATATTTTATGTGGTCGGTTTAATTTGAGATTGTTGCAAAATAATATAGTCGTTCGACCGGTGCTGAGGATGGTATAGCTTGGTTGTATTTCTGTATAATATTCTTCATAGCTGGATACAAATAAACTTTTTTAAATTTATTTATACATGTTATTTACCAGGGTATTAGAATGTCTGTGTTAATGTATGTTCATTTTGTGAACAAAAGACATAGTATTTTTATTTCAAGAGAAAATACTTTAGTTTATAACATTATTAAGATTAATTTTATTTATCGTTTTTCATTATAAGATATACTTTTTCTTCTGTTTTATTATTTACACCCCCTCCCAAAATCACAAGAACAAAAAAAAATGACACCCCTTTCTGTTAATGTTTAGTTTTCAATAATTTTGCACTTAGGTTCAAAGTTTAGCTGAGCTTTATGAAATTTGGTTATTAGTTAGAAATTGGTGTAAAATGCATGTAATCCAATGTGAGTGGTGTAGCACATTTTGTTAAGGAAATGGAGCAAATGTGTGGGCCAGATCCTCTATTTTCTCTCTACTGCCTTTGAATTTAGTTTTGAAATTAACACATACACATGATAAAAATTCATCATTTGTATATTACATAAAATAATTTATTCAGGTTCTTTTAATTCTAATATTTACCAAACAGAGATAAAGCAATGCCAGCATAAAGACATTTTATGAATGGTGGTACAAAAAATTACGGGATGAATACCTGTTGAGAGATTAATTACATAAGCTTTCTAAATCATTCCATCATTGTAGATCCAAGACACCACTGCTGCTTCTACCTCATCTTTAAAGAGAAAATTCCGTCTATGAAACTAACTAATGGTTGGTCATTCTTGATCAAAACTTTGCTTTCCTTTTTATTTCCACTTACATTTCTAGCAACATCATAAGTTTGCCCCCTTAAGTTATACATTGGAAAATATAATCTCAGCAATAAACCCTTAACTGTTTCTCCTCCATTGTTTGAGATCTAAATTGACTCATATAAAACAGATCTGAGTTACTCTTTTCCACATTATCCCATGTGCCATCACAGAATAATGAAAATATCAGTTGATTTAGATTGTTTATCTTGCTGCAAGTATTTTTAATTAATAAAAGTCCAATAATTTAATTTTGAATTTTAAGTGAAAGCATTTTTATCCACTTACCTAGTACCCACTGTTCCAGTCTGAAGATTTACCCCTCAATGATACAATACCTTGCTAAGCTAAATATTTAATAGAATTAATTGTTGCGATAAGAAAATATTATAGAACTCTTAGAAAATTTTTTATTAATTAGAATTTACAAATAGCCAAATAGCCAAATATGGTACTAAGTAACCTTTGTATAATACAGTGATGTTATTTATTATTATTATTTCAAACATATTATTTTACTTAAATGTTGTTTTCAACAGTAGGGAAATTTTAAAAAAAATCACACTAATAAAAAGAGGAAAAAATGAGTAAATATACACAAATTATAGATCAAGTGTGTTAATTGTGTGTGTGTCTATACGCACACACAAACAGTTAACACACTTGATCAAAACAATATATATTTTATATACAGTTTTACTAGAACTGAACAATATTCACTTAGTTTCTAATACTATTGTAATGTCAGTAGGTGAGTATGTTGTTTAACTGTTGGGAGGAGCAAATCAATATATTTGTAATTCTAGTAAATAGAGGATAGGATAGTTGTTTACTATTTTTATGCATATTATTTAATGACCTCTAATTTTTTGTGATTGCTATCTCAGATATAACTCCAAACAGGAGCATAATATGTTATTATTGCGAAGCATATGACAGTTTTATGCAGTATCAATTTATTTTTTTGGTGATAGTAAGAACACCTATTGAAGTATGTGGTAATTTTTCTGATGATACTTTTAAATCTATCGCATTTGTGTGGTATTTTTGGTGAATGATAAAGTTTTGTCCGGTTCTATACCCAAGTAATCGATAAGCTGAATACATAGGATTGTAGTTCCATATATATTTACATTCTGAGTTATGGATTGTATCTTTTTAGTGAATATCATTGCTTGTGTTTTTGTTCTATTTACATTAATTTTCCATTTTGGAAAATAAACACTGAGCTTTATTGGGAGAGCTTAATTTATAGGAGGATTGCTGTATCTCCAACTTACAGCAATCATGCTGGACAATGTTTTTCACGATCATATAATGAGCAAACTCGAGGCAAGATGAGTATCACGGGATCTCAAAAACGTGATTGCAGCTCTGCAGAGTTCTAACCAAATCAAGATCAGAGTCGGAGCCCACTCAAAAAGTTGGATCAAGAGTACCCCAAGGCGGACCCTTGTCAACTTCACTGTTCAACCTGACTATAGATCATCTATGCCATGACCTCAGCGAGCAAGAATTTTCAAAGCGCTATGGATACCAACTAACCAGTGACCAAGAATGTGTAGTTCTCACAGGCTACACGGATGACCAGACTGTTACAGCACGTGACAAGGGTGCTGCAGAGAGGATTATCAACTGTGTGCAGAGGTTCCTTGCCGAGATTGGTCTGGCTGTAAATCCACAGAAAAACGTGGGTCTAATAATTGTTAAAGGAGAGCTGCAATAAACAAAGCTTTCTCTTGAAATCATCAAAGGCTGGTGAGACTATTAAGTATTTATGATGTACATTCTGTGCTGAATGAGGAAATGGTGACCAAATTGAAAAACAACTTGGATAAATTGGTAAGCTCTTGGTTTCTTAAACTGAAGCAAAAACTCAACGTTGTCAACCAATATGTGTTCCCAGCACTTACCTACCCTCTCCAGACGGCACCCCTCACAAAGATATGTCCTGCGATAAGGAATGGATACAAATATCGGCAGGAGTATCAAGGCCATTATCAGTCTCTTCGCTAATACATCAAAAGCGATGTTAAGCGCACCTAAGAGGTATTGAGGATTGGGACTGATCCGCTGTCAAAGGGAGGCTCCTTTCCAACATTGGTTGGTTCCATTGCCCAGCGGCTGTCTAATGCACCAAATGCCCTGTTGCAGTCCACATTTGACTACAATACAGAAATCACCGAATGTGCAGAAAAACTGGAAGTGGATCAAGGCCACCGAAACGTGAGAGCTCAACGACAGTCGCTAAGAGAAAATTCCTTTGAGAAATGAGCCAGCTGTAGGTGGCAAGGCGCTAACAGTTAGGCATATTAAAGAAACCCCGAAAGTTAATAAATACATTTGCCAGGAGCGAGTGCTTTAGGGATCAGAATGTTCAACGCCTTAAAACTCAACATCAACTATGCACCTATGCGTGGAGTCTCAGGAGCCAGTGGACAGTCGAAGAAATATAGCAGAGATTCTCAAACACCAGCCCATGTTCTGGGAAAATGCCTCAACACCCTCCTCATAACACACCAGCACCATAGGGTCAAGTTCAAGTTAATGATGCTCCTAAGAGAAAAAGAATTCACCTGCTTCGATGAGGTCTACAGCATAGACAGTGAAGGCTCAATCAGGAAAACAGATATTGTTGTATTTCCCAAGACAGGAAGGAGAGCTATGATCTTGGATCCAACTGTCAGCCTTGAGAGCAATGATCTCGATTAGAAGGGTGAAGTGGAAAGGGAAAAGAAAAACATATGATAAATGTATCTCTTTTCTAAAAGAGGAGTTCCGTGAGACCTTCGGAAAGAGTTCACCAGGAGAGGTCTCTGATTTAAGTCTTGCAGAACACTCTCAAAAAGAACAAGGAGCTTCCTTGAGGAATTAGGTGTTGATGTTGGGAAGCTTAGGATATTGGTCGAGAACGTTATTTTGGACTCCCTGGGGATCATCCACTATCACTTGTACAGTAACTGACCGTGAATTGAGGATGTCTTTTGTCATTTATCCGTTTATTCAATTTTAATTTTTGGCTTTGTTACATATTTTTAACACTCGAATATATATAGGGAATGTGGTAGCTCAATGGTAGGGTACGGAGCTTCCAATGCTAAAGGTGCCAGGTTCGAATCCTGGTTCATGGCAGAAAAATTATTTATTCTGTTTCATTGGCTGTAGGGCGACCCTGGGTAGGTAGACCCTCCTGGGGCACACCCAGCCTCTATAAAGCGGGTACCCTAAATTAAAATAATTAATTAAGGGGAAAAACATGGCGGTTGAGTGTGATCTCGGTCAAATCGCCTCGTCTTGCACAACTGTAGACCAAGAAACAGTGCTTTCCCTAAATAGTACTGTACCCAAGACCCTTCAGGTTGTAATGGAATAGGGGAAAAAAAATATATATATATGTTTTCAAGAAATTATATATGTTATGTAATAGGAACTGTTTAATGTGGTGTATTATTGATATTGTATATGACTAGTGTTACCAGAAGAGAGGGGAAAACAATTTATATATAATAATGGAATAATGCAATGTAAGCGCTATGTCCATATGGATTGATTAGTATGCTGTGTATAAAGCAACCCTATGTAGTAGGGCAGCATTACTTTCAATAAAGTTTTTCTTTATCTTATATAGAATCTGTAGTTTCTAAATACCTCGTTATAATAACAATCATAACAAAAAATTTTCAAATTGTGATTTTTGAGACCAGATACCCATCCTCTGCTTAAAATCTCTACACCGTAATTGATAATTGTATGCACAACTTTTTATTTCTCTATAGGTAATTTTTTCCTGATTTTCAGAGCATAATGACAAAAACTGTTTCAAAAATTCAATTTTTGCAACCATCACAACTCCTTTGTTAATTGATTTCGTAGTAGTGCCAAGACGTCTCCCCCTTGAAGAGACATCTAATGATCTGAAATAATAATGTTAAAAATATTGTTAACAAATGTTTTATAATCATAAACAAATTTAAAATATTACATATATTTTGTAAATAAAAAATTAATTATAACCAAATTGTTTGACAGGGGTTCTCTAATTCTATATTATCACTAACAATCTTCAATTTTGAAAATTGATTTTTTATGCATTATCAGTTTGGTATTTTAATAAAAAAAACATTGAGGCATAAGTTTTGACTGTTCCAATGCTCTTTTAAACACTCAAAGGGTTCAAGCTGAACTTACAGGTGTTATAATATATAACCATAGTGTGATTTTCTTTTCACAAATATTTAGGAATTATGCATTAAACTATGTATTTGCTATTTTCCCTTTTGCCTTAACAGGAGTTGCCAATCTTTTCCTGAGTACCCTAAACATAATTTATCTCTATTAATCCTATTCTTCTCTGTTTTTAGAAATTTAAACATAAACTATATATTTTAATAAGAATGATAGCGGAACTACAGAGCTACCAAAAAGTTTATATAAACAATAGACCAATTTTCAGCAGAAAAATATAAAATCCAGATTTTGCGTTTTTTTAAGCGTCATGTTTTTTGTTGAATAAGAACCGAAAGCTAAAGAAATATTTAATATAAGTAATTAAACATTGCTTCAATGTAAAGTAGGTAAAATTTACTTTAAATGAAGATAGAGTTTGTTTAACAAGAATTTTAAAACCATTTAAAGCGTTCTTTTGAGCGACTAAACTAAGCTAAGTTCACTTTTTAAAAAAATCATTAAATTAATTATTCATGACTTTTGTTTATTATCCTCTAACTATACTGCAGATACTCTACTTTTAGAAAAACTTCTTCGTTAAATAAGCTTTACATCCATATTAATTAAATTGAGGTTTAGTAGGGGAAAAATTTAAATTCATTTCAAATTGTATAGAAACATGATGTAATTTCATATTCTGTCACCTAAAAGTACCTGTGTTTTCAGTAAAAAATACTACAATGATTGAAGAGAAGAATAGTTGGGATGATCAGTCAAAAAAATAGTAATAATAAATTATTATATTTATTTTTTTATTTGGAGACATTTCGGCCCAAAGTTAACGGCTACAAAGTAGGGACTAATAAAATAACATAATCAAAATAAAGTAACAAGAATGCAGCCGTTATCGGTTATTTCTTAGTTCTTTGTTACTTTTATTATTCTACCTACTTTATTTTACTTTAATGTTCACTCTATCTACTTTATTTTACCTAAGTTTATTTTAACTACATTTTTTAGTCAATACCTTTCACCTTTTTAATTTGAATTCTTTATTATTCAATGTTTATAGTTTCTCATACTTATTGTTATCTGGTTTTTTCTTAGTCCTGAACTTTGGGCTGAAACGTAGGCAAATATAAAAATAAATATAATTATTTTTTTTTAATGATCTCCCCAACCATTTGTCTCTTCAATTATTCACTACAGACAACCATCAATCCACAATTACTACAATAATTGTTCCAAAAGCTTTTATTTCTGGTTTTCATGATTTGGGATGAATTATGATAAACATAATTGCCTAAAAACACTTTTTATTTCTAACAAAAATATTTTTCATGCAAAGTAGTAATGAAACTCTGCTTTTCACCTAGATTTTTAGGATAGGAAGTCATCCGTATATATAAGCGACAAACTAAATATTTCTGATCCTAGTATTATGTTTTCATTAAAATAATTGAAGCGATCAGCAGAGATTAATATTCCTTTATTTTAAAGGAAATATTAAGTTTGTCACTCATAGATTCATATTAATTCAGATGACAGAGATCTCGAACAAAAACACAGTTTTATTTATAACCACTTTATATGAAAACTCATTATTTTTAATTTTTTTTTTAATAAATAAAAAGTGTGTTTAGGCAATTCTGTTTATTACAATACATCCCAGATCATGGAAAAACAAAAAATAAAAACTTTGCAACAATTAATTGTAGTCACTTTAGCTGAAAACATGAGTACTTTTAATTGACAGGATAATAAATCATAACATTTTTCTACACAACTTAAGGCGAATCTCAAGTTTCTGCCTAATAAGCCTCAACTTATTTAATATCTACTTAAGGCTTATTAAATGATGAAGTTTTTCAAAAAAGTGGGTTATCTTTAGTATAGTTGGATAATTATAAAAAAAAAAAAAAATCGTGAATAATTCATGATTTTTTTAAAAACAGAACTTTGCTTAGTTCAGCTGCTCAAAAGTCCTCATTAAATGGTTTTAACAATGACAAACTCTATTTTCGTTTCAAGTAAATTTTGTCTAGTTTACAGTGAAGCAATTTTTAATTACTTAAATTAAATATTTATTTAGTTATTGCTTCCTATTCAACAAAAAACATGACGCACTTAAAAAACACAGAACTTGGATTTCCCACTTTTTGGCTTAAAATTGGCCAATTGTTTATATGAAATTTTTTGTAGCTCTTGTGGTCTGTTATCAATGCTATAAAAGTTTTCCTCTACTCACGGGACACCCTGTATAATATTATCAAGATAGTCTATGTGACACACACAATTGGTGAAGCTTCTTACTTTACCATGACTGTTAAATTTATTATGAACTTAATAAGTGATTAGTTTTCCCTCTGGAAAATATCCCTCCAGTTTAATAGTTAGGCAATAAGACACAGCTATCCCTGAACTTGAACTAATTCCATGATTGTACTCGCATAAGACCTATTTGTTTTGAGCAAAAGAGTTTTGTTGTGTCACTTACTAACAGATTAGAAGTCTATTACTGAGATATAGAAGCCATAACCTGGATATATTTTTATTTAATAAAAGTATGAAAGAGTTTCTTTCTATATCATCCTACTCAAGGGAGGATTTCTATATAAAGTACTCAAGGGATCATAGAGTTATTCTCTTCCATTTACTTTTTCAATTGATTTTAGTTCACCAAAGACAATCACAAATAGCAATAATTTAATTTTTAAAACCTAAACAAAAAGTGATAAGTATCCCATGGCCTGTTATAGTTTCAAAGAAACTATATCAGGTCTTGATATCCGCATCAAAATCTTTAAAACTCAATTTATCCCAATGTCAAAAAAAAAAAAATTTCTCGGCTCCTAACGTGCATTGGCAACAAGAATCCTTGAACATAGGTCTAATATTTTTCAACCAAGTACCACTGAAAAAAGTTTCATTGAAATTGGTGGCCATGCTCTGTAACCTCTCCTTGTATGACATATTTTTAATTTAAGGAAAGAGATTTTAAGTCCAACCAATTAATCAGTCAAGGAAAGAGATTTTAAGTCCAACCAATTAATCAGTCAAGGAAAGAGATTTTAAGTCCAACCAATTAATCAGTCATTTATAATCTTTTATTGGATTTTAGGAAGATTGGTTGTATGGTTCAGATAAATGCAGACTATTCAAAAGAATTAAATTCAGCAAAAAGGCTTTACCAGAATGATTCATCAACAAGTATTCTTTTAAACATAATTTTAGCAAAATCAGTAAGGAAAGCAAAAAGATAGGTGGAACAATGAACATATTCAGCTCCAAGGTTGCGCAGATATTGTTGACACCAAATATTCAACAAGGGATGTCACAGAAGCATTCCTGCCATTCATTTGGCCAATAAATAGACTTAGCTTTACTCAGAGGTAATCAAAGGGAAAACCAAGTACATGGAAATATTGTGACCACAAGCTTGTCTAATATTTTGAAAAGGGTATAGTTCACTTACTTAAAGCCATTAGTAACAAAAGAGAATAGTGTAGCAGCTGAAATTAAAAAGAGAATTTTGACTGCCAATAAATGCTATTTCAGATAAAATAAGCAGATTTCAAGTTGCTTGGCTTAATTAAGATTTTGTAATAATCAAGTATTAATCAATATTTAGAAATATTATTGTGATAAAACATTCTTTGGAATTATTAGAAATTATTAATGGAATGGTACTTGTGTGCTTGTGACGCGGCCTCTATGGACTGCTATCTGCAGTTATCTTGTTATTCAAAGTGTTGTTGTTATTTATATTTCTTATTATTAAATGTTTATAACCTGAATAATGATAATTGTTATAAGATTCTGATAATCCCTATCTTCATATGAAATTAGACTCCCATATAATAAGAAATATAAGTATATTTGGTGATGCCTCTTTTTTGCTTGTTTCTTATTAATACATATATATATATATATATATATATATATATATATATATATATATATATATATATATATGTATTAATAAGAAATATAAATATAATAATAATAATATATTAATTTAATAATAAGAAATATAAATAACAACAACAACACTTTAAATAACAAGATAACTGCAGATAGCAGTCCATAGAGACCGCGTCGCTCACAAGTACCCATAAGATATATGGCAATTAGTTATATTATATTAATTTATAATAGAAACTTACTTATTCAAAACATTACTCCAAATTATACTAGTTGGAGTAGGTTTCCCTCCAATAATTTTGAAAGGAGAATCACAAAAAACCAGATTAGTCTGAAGTATTTGTGGAAGATCACTTTCCACTCCTGATCTGCCAATTAAGGAATGTTTAATGATGTCATGGTTAAAAGGACCTCCAGCACCAATCACCAAGGTTGAAAGTTTCAAATCTTCTTCCATCAAATGAGACAACAAGGCTCCCTTAATAAAAACAAAAATATCATAATATTACTAGGTATCTAAATAGCATAATAATACTAGATTAAATATATTTTAAGATAAATGACCAAATATATAATAATGAAAATAACATCCATATTATGAGGATCACGTTAAGTACAATAAAACAAGTTCTTAAAAGTGATAACATCCAAAGATTAAACGACTTCCCTGATTCTTCCTTCTTTACCTTCAACAACTTCCAACTCTCCTTTGTAGGACCAAATATCTGTCAGATTTTTTTTTTTAGAAATCAGCAGTTCTTTTTTATTAATTTATGAAAGGAAGGATTAGCTTCATGTAGACACATATGAGTTGCCTCCAGTATGCTGTTGTTCTTCACCAGGAAAAAATCATGTTTTTTTAATGATAGCCCAAATGTTCACTTACTTAAAACACTTGACTATGGCGATATAACTTTATTAATGGCATCTCATCACCCCTATTTTTACTTTCATTTAACTACACATGAAATATATTGTAGTTATTTCATAGGTATTTATTTAAAACTGATTATATGTAACATTTACTTTTAAATAATAATCATAATTTGTTAAATTCAATATTATAATGGTTGTGGTTAATTCTGTATGAAACTTGTAGCGTAACATTTACTTTTAAATAATAATCATAATTTGTTAAATTCAATATTATAATGGTTGTGGTTAATTCTGTATGAAACTTGTAGCATTCAAATATAGACTCCAAGAAGGAACAAAAATACACCTCTGCCAACAAATATCCGTTCGATACACTCGGCAGACGCACTGAAAATCTCACTTTTTTTAATAACGAAATGGTGTCAGTTTTTACTACATGAAACTTATTGCTTTTAATTATACTCTAAAAAAGGAAACCAAATACGTGTCAATAAATTCACTAGGTATTCACCGAAGATGGTATACAAAATCTCATGTGACCCCAAGTTAGAGAGTCGAAAGGGAAAAAGGTAGCCCCCAAATATCAAATAATGACTGTTTTGAACATTTGGTCTGAAATATCTCAACATTTAAATACCATGTAGAATTCAGAAACCAATTTGCAGAAGTCAATATAGATATTTTTTTTTTTTAATTAGTCATAATAATAAGAATAGTGTTTCAACCAATTACAGACCCCCATTACTGATATTTTTTGAAATTAACATTAGATTTAGAAATGTTGAATGATTCAAATGAAAGCTAAACAAAATATGCAACAACTATTGACATAGTTTTGGTTACATATTTAGCAAATAGATTTTATTCAAAAGTATTCATCGTATACTTTATTCTGCTTCTTATCTGACATCACGACCAACTTAATCAGTCAAAGCCTGCTCCAACAATGATTCCAGTCCTCTCTATTGCCTTTCTAATAAACCAAAATGTTTTCTGAAGGGCTTGTTTTGGGACTTTATTCATCGTCTGACACTCTGAGCCTTATATATGAACAGGTCTGATTAGCATCTAATAGAACCGTGTTTTAGAGGATTTGCACAAAATTCTGCTTGATTAGCATCTTATAGAACCGTGTTTTAGAGGATTTGGACAAAATTCTGCTCCTTATATGGTTTCGGAGCACAAAATAAAACCTCTTGATAGTTTTCCAGATTTCCTTAAATAGCATTTATTATTGCCCATTGTCATTTTCACTAAACAAATCAGGTTAGGAGGGATATTTAATTCTAGCATTGTGTTGTATGTTTCTTCTCTGTTTACAGCCATGATGCTTGTTTAAAATCTATGAACAGATGATTTCTTTGGATCTGAAACTCTCTTGTTCTCTCTATTAGAACTCGCAGCGTGAACATCTGGTCAATAGTTGACATTCTCTCACTAAATCCACATTGATATTTCCGTAATTCACTATCCGCATAGGCAAGAAGTCTTTTAAATTGGATGAGAGATAGGATTTTGTATCCAAATAGAAGGAGATGTATACTCCTATAGCTTCTACGTGTTAATATGTCACCTTTCTTGTGTACAGGACAGACTATGCTTTTTCTGGGAATAAGTAGTTTCTCTTCTCTCCATATGTCCATAAGACTTATGGAAACTTTATCATTCATGCCCACTGTTCTTAAACAGCTCTGCTGGAATGTTGTCAATTCCTGGGGCCTTATTTGTTTTTAGCTTCTCTAGTGCATCTATTATTTCTTCTTCATCAGGAGGTTCAATAGAATCTTCGGTGTGTCCATTTCTCTTAAGTTGGGTGCAGGATTTAGATTTTCCTGTTGGGCTCCACTTATCATTTCCTCAAAGTTGTCCGCCCAACGATCAATAACTGCAACTTCTGTTATTAAAGAGTCATCTTTATTCTTGCAGGCATGGTTTTGAGGTTTACATATGTATCATGTATTTGTAAGCATTCTCGATTTCATTAAGAATTTTACATAACCATTGCCGTTTTTTACATCTGGAGACGTGAGTTTCCCTTCTTCTTATGGCTCATTACTCTTCCAGATATCTTCTAGTGTACTTACTCTGATCCATTGTTGTGTACACTAGGTGTTATTTTTTAGTATACCTTTTTTTTGTATACTGTAGTTATCATAAACCTCTTGTTTCATTTTTAGAGTATGGTATAAATCATAGGCACAGACATTCAATTTTGGTTGTGATTAGCGATGGACTCGCCAAAAAAAGACTCGAGAGTTTATATTATGTATAAAAATTATGAATGATAATTAACATAATTATTGTAAAATGAACAATAAAATATATATAGTATTTAATATATAAATTTATTGTTATATATAGTAACAATAAATTTATATATTAGTTTATTTTTTTTTACGTAAGATATATTTAAAAATATGTTCACGAAGCAATTGAATCTATTACATATTGTTATCTTTATTTAAAAGTTTGAGGCAGTGAGATGAAATGTCAATTCTCTGATAATTCGAATTTACTGTGGGAAAAGAAATAAAATCTTCACTTTAAAATGGAAGGGTGCACAGAAATTAATCATGAAATCCTACAATGTGTTGCTACATATAATTATCTTAGAACTTCTAAGCATTAGCTAAGCCATCTGATAGACTTTTCCTATTTCCTTAATTGTTTTTAGTACACATATTTTATTCATTCATGTAGACATATATGTTATTCATTTATTGCTTAATACTTTGATTTTATTTTTGTTATTTGAAATACTGGTTGGGCGAAACAATATTCTAGCTCCCTCCCCGAAGTCTGTGCCGCCTATGATACAAATGACCATCACAGTTTTTTTTTTTGTAAAGCTAAATAAGTTTTTTATTTATAATTGCTATTTATTTTTACCTCAATCATCCAATATTTTTCTCTTTGCATCATTACGTCAATCCTTTGTCAAAAATAATTAATTATGTACTTAAATAACATTATTCAAATTAATGAAATTGGTGAAAATAAATAGAAAATATAAATAGAAAACCTATTTAGCTTTCCAAACAATAAAACAACTCTGTCTGATTGCCATTTGCATCATGCTCTAAAAATGAAGCAATAGGTTTATGATAATTAAGTTATATGAAAAAAAAGGTATACTAAAGAAAAAAATCTAGCGTACACAACAGTGGATCAGAGTAAGTACACTAGAAGATATCTGGAAGAGTATCGAGCCATAAGAAGAAGAGAAACTCACGTCCGCAGATGTAAATAACAGCAATGGGAATGTAAAATTCTTAATGAAATCGAGAATGCTAATAAATACAAGAATAGCCGAAAATTATACACTGGAAATTCCTGGGGCCTTATTTGTTTTTAGCTGCGAGTTCTAATAGAAAAACAAGAGTTTCAGATCCAAAGAAATCATCTGTTCATAGATTTTAAACAAGCACCGTGACCGTATACAGAGAAGAAGCATACAAGGCAATGCTAGAATTAAATATACAGTCTGCCAAGTGTATCCAGCGCATATTTGTTGGCAGAGGTGTATTTTTGATCCTTCTTGGGGTCTATATTTGAATGCTACAAGTTTCATACAGAATTAAATTATAAAAATGTTTGACATTCATAAAGGTGGGAATGTTAGACACATCTGCAGCACGTATTCAGCTATTTTTTGGCAGACGCAGCTGTTTGGTATCTTTTTTGGAGTCTATATTCAACTGCTAAAAGTTTTATCCAGTATGAAATGACACCATTTTGTGGACACCAAAAATGTGAGATTTTGAGTTGCATCTACCGCTGGTGTGGTGGGTAGCCCTAAATAAGACCACTCATATGCGAATGCTATGTCACATTCAAAGAATGGCCTACATTAGCATTACTGGGGCATTCTGCACTACACCTACAAAGGCTCTAGAAATCTTATTGTCATTGACTTCACTACACCTATGGATAATAGGCGAGTCGACTATGGTATTTTTAAGAATGAAGGATAATAGACAGTGGAAATTAACAGAAACACACACCGGCCACTTAGAAATAGCCAAGGGGGTGGAAAAAAAGTTACCTATCTTACAGTACCTCTCTCCGCCACTTGATAAAAACCTGACTTTAGACAGTAAGGTTATCTACCTGTACCCTAACATAATAGAGTGGGCACAAGGTTCAGTAGAAACTCAAAAGCACTACCTGCCTGTTTTACTGATGGTTCAAGGAAAGACTCAACTAGTTTAACGGGCAAAGGAATCTATATAGAGAACCTAAATATAGAACTAAGGTAACCACTAGATAAACATGCAACAGTATTTCAAGCAGAGGTGTTTGCTGTACTTTCTGCAGCTACCTGCTTAGAAGTTAATTGCGAGAATACTGGCATCACTATCTATTCGGATAGTCAGTCGGCACTACAAGCATTGGAGTCCCTCAAAGTGACCTTCACACTAGTGCAGGAGTGTAAACAAGCGTTGGACACTGGCCTTCTCCAAGAGTGCCCCCACCAGTACCAGTGCATCTAACGTGTGTAGCCAGCGGGTATTCGATGGCAGACGCTTATTTTTGGAGTCTATAACAAAATGCAACAAGTTTCATGAAGTATGAAATGACACATTTTTGTTGGCAAAAAAGTGAGATTTTGAGTTGCATAGCGTGTGCCCAGTGGGCATTTGATGGCAGATGCATGTTTTTTTGTTCTTTTTTTTGGAGTCTATATTTAAATGCAAAAAGTTTTATACAAAATGAAATGACATCATTTTGTGTTCAAAATGATGAGATTTTGAGTTGTGTCTGCTCAGCATACTTAGTGAGAATTTGTTGGCAGGCGCATGTTTTTGGTACTTTTTTGAGGTATATATTTTAATGAAACATCATTTTTGTGGTCGAAAAGGTAAGATTTTGAGTTGTGTCTGCTGCGCGTACCCAGTAGTTGTTAGTAAACAAATAGTGAGTGTCTACAACTAGACGAAGACAAGAAAATAATAGAACAAGAGAAATTGTATGAGTTGGATACAATACTGAAGAAGATTCACTGCAGAACAGGGTGAGTGAAATATAAATGGACAGTTAGAAAGCGCGCCAAGATTAGACCTTGACAAACAATGGAAATTCATAAATGTGCTGTATAATTAATGTATGCTTTTATACTGTATAAAAGTTGTCTCAACCCAACCTGGGAATTATTAGATATCAGATAGGTACTAAAAATATCAAACCTGATCAGTAATCAATTACAGTTGGATAGTTGGATAAAAATATCTGATACAATTATTGGGGTATCAAAAAATCAACTGAAAAATTAATTTATTCCTACCATGTAAATAAATTATAGTACTCTAATGCTCTAAATACTCACCAAAATATTCAATATTCAATTTGAATTAAAGCTACATGATTGGTTTTGAAGTAAAGTAATGTTTTTGGATGTACATGGTAGTTTGGAAATGAAGATTTTCTACAAATATCATGGATGAACATTATGGGGTAAAAGTAAAAATAAGTATAACAAAACTATACTAAAATAGAAGATGTGAAAATATATTTAATCACTAAAGTGCGAGTATAAAATATTAACTACAATTTATAAAATGTAAATATTACATACAAATAAGTCATAAAATCTGAACTAAAACAAATAAGCCTGAATATATTTATCTACAAAAAAACCTAGGTCTGGAAAACCATTTATATCCATGTGAGTATCTATATAAAGATATTTGAATATTCCTTTATTGCCCGATCCACTGCCTTCTGGAATTCCTTGCCATCTGATATCTGCCATGCCTCTTCCTTGTCCTCATTTAAATATCATCTCTACCAATTCCTTCTTACATCCCAAAATGACATTATACAATGAAAGAAATATTGTGAAACAGATTTTGACTGAGGTGAATCGTTATTAAAATTGATTGAGTTTTAATTTAAAAAATCAGCCCATGGTTATATTATTTTGTTTTGTTTTTCCATTTGAATAATGTTTTTTTTTTTTTCAAAATGGTGTTATTATTACTTCTTTTAATATACTTTTACTGAGATACTGTATATTTTCTTTAATATTGATTAATGTAATTTATGGCCAGATCTGGTTTTTATTTTTTTGTTCATAACTGTTATTCATAAGGGACCTCGTCCCAGAATAAAGATTACTTTCTATCTATCTATCTATCTATATCAGATACTTTTGGTTTGTATCTACTGCTTGTATCAGATAGAAAGTATCTGATACATACAATCATACCCATCCCTAATCACATCAGTTGCATTTGGCATTGAATACACTACTCTTTAAACCTCTATTTCTTAAAAACTGAAATATGAAAATATAATATGAGTCTAATCTTTAAATTACCTGAAGTCCAACATAAATCCAACGGGCTATTTTATCACTGCAACTTAATGACATAGTAGGGTTGCCTCGGCCAGGTTTAGTTCTTACTGCACCCCTTACATGATAATCAACCCCACTGTTTTTACTATCTTGCTTAGAACCATAACAAACTGGTTTGGCTCCTGTTCTATAAACATCAATTTTCTGTCTTTTAGAAACTGGGAGAAGTTCTTCCATTTCTTTCATTGGGATAATTGAAGCATCTCCACAAGGAACATGTGATGTGTAAAGATGAAATTTTAGGTTCTTACATAAATCAAATTTAGGCCCTTTCCACTTCAAAATTTCAGAACGTCCGCCATTTTTGACAACTTTCATTTCCTCATAAATAAATCGGTGAAATGCACGCCTTGCTAAAACCTATAATTGAACAGCAAATATTAAATCTATTAGAAAAAGTGATATTATCATTTAATTTTTAGACAGTTAGAGATTTATGTAATAAATCAAATAACTATAAGTTTTACTAAAACCTAGAATATTAGACAGACCAAATACTTTTCTTTTAACTTGCTCTGAGGCTTTAGTCATAGTCCAACATCCTGAGTCATAAATAGGTACTAGTCAGATGATTGTTTTAAATAATATTTCTTTGGAAACCATCGATAATGATAATGCACTGCTTCTTAGGTATTTCTGGAAAGAAAATAGGTTTGTTGAGAGAATAGTTCTTTGGATTTCTTCCTCTACACTGTCCTTGTGATCAATCTGGGATCCAAGTATAAGAGGAGCTATACTCTTTAAAATCTATAATGCCCTATTGGGACATAATGTACAGGATAGATTGGAGACCACTGATCATAAGGGAGATTTGGCCCACATTAGAATTTCCCGCCAAACAGCTGTCTTTGAAGTTGTCCGTCAGTCACAAGTTATCTACACTCTGTTTCAGTTTGGAGGGAAAAACTGAATGTTTTCTAGTTGGAATGCAAGGAACAAGATATTTTGCATCTTGGCTACAACTTTTACACGACATAACGTAAATAATCTACAAAACTATATTAATTTAAAGATTAAAAAAATAAGTTATTATTGGAGTGCATTTTATTGGTTATTTATTGGTATTCTTATTGTTTGGATAACCTCAAATTTACGAAGTTCACAATAGATTAAACACATAATGACATTTAAGAGAGCATTGACCCACCTGACTTAAGGGAGGCCTGACCATATGACCAGGGTTGACCCTCCCTTACTATTACTTTAAATGTGTTACCAGCAAAATGCCATATCTCTAGTTTTTAAAAAGATTCTAAAACATTAAATATTTCTATGAATATTTCATTATTCATTCTAATGCAACCAAAACATAATTAATAGACCAACATTCTTCTACATCACAACAACAAAAAGATCCTTTGATTGCTAGTCAAAAATCTGATGAAAAAGTAGGCCTAGTAGTCCGCCCTAAAATTGTTCGACCCTTTCCAAAAGCCGAGCCTCAGAAAAATAAACGAAAAGGTCGCAAACCAGGGAAAACCGACATATTAACTGACGTATCAGTAAAAAATGATATAGAGGAAGAATTTAAAATACAACAAGAGAAAAAGCGGAAGCCCCCTAAGACTACCCAAAAAAAAAGTTTCTAAAAAACAAAAATATAATGAAGATGAAATGAAATGAAAATATATTTTATTATTCTGGGACTGTTGTCCCTTTAGAACAAATTATAAGTAAAGAATGCATGTCTGTGTGATCATAAATAAATTAAATATTTACAATAATAGTTAATTAAAATTAAAAATACAGAAGAGAGAGAAAAATACAAGAACAGCGTATATATATACACTGACAGGCAAAAAATTCCACCCACTTGATTTTCAGGGGGAACCCGACTGGGGGAAAATATGCCGAGGCGTTTTTAAGAAGTAGTGAAGGCAAGAGGAGGAAACACGCGCTACTAAACGATGATGTAATTAATTTCTTTTAGAATAATAATGGTTCGTTTTTCAATTTGTTTTTCTCTAATCTTTCTTACCCAATCACATTTTGATTATTAAAGGTAAAAAAGATTATAAAATTCCATAAATACTAAGTATTATCTAGAAATACCATGTATTATATACTTTAGTTTCTAATACATTATATATATATATATATATATATATATATATATATATATATATATATATATATATATATATATAAGACAAACAACGGAAACTAAAATAACATTAATGAATATTTAATAGAAGGAGATGGTCCGGGGTGGCAGTCATAAATAGACTAAATAGTGGCAAAACTATTTTATTAATAGCCAATGTTTCGACCCGACTTTGCAGGTCTTCTTCAGGGCTAGAACGGACAAGATACAAAAAGATATAGAGAATTGTGGAAGTTACATAATATTTAGACAAACAATTATAAACAATGTGAATAAGCTGATTAAAATTATAAACAGTAAATAAATTAAAATATAAACAGAGTAAGCTAAGTAACAAGATCCTAAACTGAAGTAAATAGATGGTAACAATTGTTGTAGTGTAATATATAATATTTGCAATTGCGAATATACTCCTACAGATCTACAGGAGATTGGAAGAAAAGGAAAAAGGATATAATATGAAATAATGGACATAAAGGGATGTGGAGAAAGAAAAGAAAAAGAAAACCAAAATATAAATAAAATTAGAAGAATAAAAATAGAGGCTTACAGGTACTTTCAGCTATGAGTTTCACTTAGAACTGGAAAATCAAGGTAAGGGTAGGGATTGGGGAAATTTGTTGTCCGGTTTAGGTAATGGAGAGGGGGAGAGTAGCAAAAGTAAAAAAAAAAAAAAAATACAGTATCTAAAATTTGAAGATATGGATGGATACAAGGGAAAAATACTATATCTATGAAATAATAAATTATAAATATATACATAAAAGATTCAACTCCAAACCTTCCTATTAATAAACAACTGTGTGAACCAACTTATCTCTAATACTTTGTTTATACTAGATGCTAATTATTGAAATAACTAAAATTTTATGTTTTCAGCAGATGAAAATCGTGGCTTATTGCTGCTGATTTTCATATGCTTGATTGGGAGACCTCCCAGTACTCTTATGTGCTAGCTTGTGCAGAAAGTATGCAATCATCACTCTTAACCCTTTATCCTTTGCAAAACTGACTGCTCTTAGTCCATTACCGTTTGACACTTCATGCTTGCTCTGCAATCCTATGGTGGGTCTAAACACTTCTACTCTTTCTATTTTTGCATTTAAGTTCCCTAAAATAATCTCCACATTGTATTTTGGGAGTGAGTCATATACCATCTCAAGGTGTCCATAAAATTCATCTTTATCTTGTTCTCCTTTTTTGTCATATTTTTTCAGGTGCATGTATGCTAATGAGTGACAAATTAGAAAATTTACCTTTTAACCAAATTGTGCCAATTCTACTGTTTCATTTTTCATCAATGTCTGCTTGAAGCTCTTTTTTATCATGAATCCTGTCCCTAATTAGTTTTGCTTGGTAACATTGTTAATAAGGATGTTACTAGATCTACTTCACTCCATCCGATTTTTTGCAAGGCTGCCCTGTCCACTTTATATTTATCCAATTTATTTTAAAGGTCTCAACTTGCCCCTGCTAGCAGTAAGTTCCGAACATTCCAAGTTTGGACTCTCATGTTTCTTTTCTTTTTGAAATGTAAAACCTTTTGAAATTCGCCTTCTCTCTCTACTCCTGCCATTAGTCCTCAACGGTATTGGCTATCATTGCCATTCAAAAAACATTGGCAGTTTTCATTGATAATCTTTTTATGAGTTTGTCAGAATCACCTTAATCACCCTCCTTCATCCAGACTTGAGATTGACAGTGTTCCTAGGGAAGCCGTTTCCACTGGTGGAGTTACCTAAATGCCCTTACTTGAGAAAAAATCGTATCCGATATCAAAGCACTTGATTGGAATAAAACATATTCCTGTACTTCTATTGATACCACAGTTAACATTCTCACTTCCCCTCCTGGGCAGTTATAGAGGAGTTCTCTAAGCAACCTATCCTCCTCCATCCATTTTATCTATCGCCTAGCTATCTGAGGTAGCACCTTTTAATAGAGACTACAATATTTTCATTATTATAAAGCTCGCTGTTTATTCTTATTTGCCACTGATCATATATTTTCTTCGGATGCTATATTTTTCTCAGAACTTTTCTCTCCTAAATTGACAGCAACCTCTCGCTTTCCTATGTCAAAACCCAGGTTTCACACCCGTAGGTAGCGACCGGCCTTATTATGGTATATTAAATTATTACTGTAATATTCCATATGCTGTCTTATGCCTACAATCTCCTTTAATTTAATTCTTCCATCCACTGCCTTACCACAAGATCCCGTTGCTCTGACATTTATAAAACTTTTCCATAGATCCGCCTTATACCAAAACTCCTTCATAGCCACCTCCACTACTTTTTGGGATTCTCTCCCTCTTGAAATCCGCCATGACCATCCTTATCCACATTTAAAACTCTTTTTTTCTAGTTCCTCTTCATAAATCAATCAAATGCTGGCTAATTATGTACTATGAAATTGGTTTTAATTTTCTTTATAAATGTATCTTTTTTTTTAAGGTATAGATTATTGCTATTTTTATTTATTTATTAATTCTACTAAAAAATTATGTTGTTTATTTAATCATACATTTTTAAATAAATGAAGTAAATAATGCTTTTTAGATGGTGAGGATTGTTTGCTAATAAGATTAATTTAACTTCCTTTTCAGTTTTTTTCTATAAGTAGGGAATATTTGTGTTCACCTTTGCTCAGCTATTCTTTTTAAATATATATATTTATAGCTATTTATAAACCTAAATATTTATTTTAGTTTGGCAATATGTGATTGGTCTTATGGCCAGCATTAATATTTATTTTTGTTATTCTTAAGGGACTTAGTTCCAGAATAAAGTTGATTTTCTATTCTATATACCTGATTTTTTATAGTTAGTTGTTTCAATAATTAAATTCTTGGTACTACTTCACAAGTGCTCCATCTGGATGACGCCTGGACCAAGTTCACTTTTATCACAAATGTACATGGAGTGCCAGAAATAGTCGACTATGTTGGATAATACCACTGCAAAAATATTAGATTAGGTTACATTTTATTCAGTCTACTTTTATTCTTTGATATAAAAGTTTTTATGTTAGGTTAGATTACATATTATTCTTCATATCAAAATATTTATGTTAACTTGGTTATAGTTATATTTCATTGTTTCATTTTAAGCAATAATAAATAATAAAATCTTTTCATTGTCTCCCATATAATTCTTTTAAATAGAAATTTTTACTTTTCCAGAATTGATAAGAAATAAATTATTATGTACACAAAAATTAATAGAAACACAGACAATTCATACATGGGTCATTTCAAATTTTAGGTCACATTTAGGCATCAATTTTTTTTAAGAAAAAAATTAGGGGAATAGCATGTTTTTCGAGTACTTAGCAATCTTTATAGTTGTATTAGTATTTAGTTAATTATAGATTAGTAATTAAGAAATTACTAATCTGACCATACATAATCATCAACATAAACATAGATATGTCATTTTGCAAAAAAAATAATACAATTATTTTTTCTCTTAAAGTATAGGATCTGTTAACTCCAGTATAATCATTTAACAAGTATTGCCAATTAAATTTGTTAATTGCTAATTAATGTTGAAAAGACAAAATATGTGATTTTCAAAAATGGTGGTAATATGAGTAAAGTTAAACATCTCTTCTATAAAAAATTTTAAATTGAAATATTTAAACAGAACAATTATTAGGAGTGTTTTTTTTTCATCATTGGCCTTATTTTCTCAGGGAGCAGATAATTTTGTCAAAAAATCGCAGTTGGCTTCACATAGAGTTCAGGAAATTTTGTTAAGTTTCAGATCAGATTCTCTTGATACTAAATTAAAATTTCATGGTGAATTTCGTTGTTGTATATTCAGCAGAGGTTCAGGGTTCACTATACTGTCAAAAATTAGAGCATGTTGCTTTGAGTTATTTTAAAGCAATTGACCACCTAATACTCCTAATCATTATGTGTGTGTGTAGAAATGGGTCTAGAATCATTAGAAATAAGTATTCTTAAAAGAATGATTCGCTGGTATGGAAAAGTGAATCTAATGGAAGATAACCAATTATCAAAAGTATGTTTGCAAATTAAAAAAAAAAAAAATTCCTCGAATTATTCAATTAATGCTAATTATAATTGGTACGTACAATTGATAAATTTGATGAGGGCCATAGACTCGGTTGAATTATCAAACATTAAAAATCAAGAGTTATTTGAAGAGGAATGTAAAAACCCAATTGAAAAATTAAAATGTAATAAATTTTCCCTTGTAAATATTGTACATAGGTCTGTTCAGTAGTCTGTATAGTTGGCCATATCGTCGGTTGAGTTCTTGTTTTTTGAGTCTAGTATGCGGGTCTCATATTAGTCTTCGGTCTAAGAGAAAGCTAAGATACCAGACTGTGTCTGAGAAAGGAAGATGGATGGAACTCTGTACTGGTGGACAGGAACTGCGTCGGAGTGTGAAGGTAATGTGTTCGTATTTGGATTCATTTACTTTAATACTCTATTTATTACACCAGTGCTCAATCAAGGAAAGGTGCCTTTGCAAATTTGAGGAGGCTATTTCGGGATCAGAGTTGGATGATAAGATTGCGGTATCGTCAGCGAATGTTACAAGGAAGGTATCAGGATGAACAGGGATGTCAGCGGTAAAGAGATGTAAAGCGGTGGATGTAAAGCAAGGGACTTGAGATGCTACCTAGGGGAACACCGGCTTTAACAGGAAAATTCTGTTCCACAGCGAACTCGAAAGGAGTGGTTAGAGAGATACGATCGGAGGACTAGGCACAAGGACTGAGGTAAATGGATTTTAAGCTTAAAGAGCAATCCAGGGTGCCATACCCGGTCAAATGCTTGTGCTATGTCCAGAAATGCACACAAACAGTATTCCTTATTTTCTAGGGATGAGGAAATATGATCAACAACTCGGAGTCCTTGTTGAACAGGAGAATGTTGGGAACGAAAACCAAACTGATGGAAAGGAAGATTTTGGGATTCTATAAGAGGTAGGATTTGTTTTAAGAGGATTTTTTCGAAAATTTTTTAAAGAATTGGGAGTAGGCTAATAGGTCTGTAGGATGTCAAGCTATTAAGAGGTTTGCCTGGTTTTGGGAGTTTACACTGCTTTCTGTATTTTTAGTAAGAAAAAGTGATGGTGATAAGCTAAAATTAATTTAAACTAGGGCAATTAGAATTCTGCAACTCAGATACTTCTGTCGTCTAAAAATGTCTAGTTCAAACTCTGATATTTTCAGCATTTCAAGTACACTTGAGATCAAAGTTATCTTGGTTCTTACACCATCCATATGGAGCACTTCTACACTATTAGCACTCCTTTTTTAATATGTACATGACAATGTAATTAGAATAATTTTTTTAGATGTTTTTGTATGAAATATAAACTAACCTAATTATATAAAAAAAAAAAGATGTAGTCAGGCAGCATTGGCATTCCAGGTACACTAGGTTCATGTGATATTGGTGCTCCTATCAACTTGTGACACTTCTATAGAATTACCACTATTTATGTATCAAGACAAGAGACTGAAAAAGTATGTTATTGTATATGACCATGATTGTCAATACTCTACTACTTAGGGTGTCCATCATATCTATAGCATGGTCACTTCAAACCATCAGGCATCTTTGAGGAGTGATTCTATTCTTATAACTCTTTACTCTCAATTACCTAACTAAAAATGGTATATACATACATGTATAATCTCAATTTTCCCCCCATATTACTTTTGAAATGAAACAGTCTGATACAGCATATTTTATCTATAATAGAATGTAACTAAGTCCTTAAATTTAAATCTAAATCACAAAAATAATTTGATACACGATTTCAATCATTGGATCGAATAATATTGTCCTAAATAAATGTTACTTAAATTACATTATAGCCAATAGAACAACACTTACTTCAGCATGACTGTCATTTAAAATTGTTCCATTTGGACACATGGAATTTACTCCAATGCATTTTGTACCAGTAGCTAAACTTACTACGGTAAATTTATTGTCTATTTCCATCACAATGCCAGCTAACTGAGTCCATTCTTTGCCTTTTTCAGGTTTACCTTTTTTTCCAAAACTATCATAAAGTTTAAGGCACATTTCGGCAATAATGTCAGCAACACTCATGACCGAATTCAAAACATAACCTTCTTAGTGACTCACTAATAGTGAGTTTCCTGTAAATAAGGTTATATCGAGCATTTCCAACTATGGTTTTTTTTTAAATTTCCGTTGTGGGCAGCTGATTGATCAGAAGATGCACAAAGTTGTGTTTTCAACCCATCTCTCATTATTTACTGCGTTTTCAGAAGAATCTCTGTTATTATTCACTTAAAACAGGTCAAAGATACTCAAGAAAGTTGATATTTACTGCGTACAGCTATCAACATATAGAATTTTTTTTATTACCATGATCATCACTAGTAGGGTGGGTAATAAGAGAACTAGGTCGTTAGGCTCGACACCTCGATCTTCTCCTATCAAACAAAATCCTCGTAAATTTGGTCAAAAAACTCCAATGACACCTGTTAGCTCCGAAGAACATGAAACTCAGCCAGGTACATTACCACAAGAGAACATTGAAGAACCACATCCTCAAACCAGGTACATCGTCACAAGAGACAACTGAAGAATCTCCCTGTTTTATACCCAACCCCTATCAGGTGCTTCAGAATGACAGAGAGGTAATGGAGACCGCACCAATACCAAGAGACCCCCGACCTACCCCGATATTCGTTAGAACATAAAACATTTTCAGTTACTATATTCTCAACTAAACAAAATAGAAGGCTCTGAAAGCTACTCATGTCTAAGCAGAACATACGACACCAAAATATCACGAGATACCGCTGAAACCTATAGAAAAATTGTGAAGTATCTACCAGAGAACAAAGCAGATTTTCACACGTATCCATTGCGGCAGGTTTGAGAGTAGTCATAAGAAACTTACACTCCTCATCACCAATTGGAACAATAGGAGAAGAACTAAAAAACTTTAGGTTTCAAAGTGCGCCAGGTGACAAATGTTCTAACGGAGAGTAACCACTAAACAACATCAAAATACCACAATACTTGACATATGGTACCGGCGACCCTGACGGAAGAGCACATGTCGGTCGGTACTGCTGTCATTGTACACCAATCCCTCTCCCGTAACCTACTCCCATCAGCTACCCAAGATTTCATACAATTCAACGCTATCATAATAAAAACCATCTCCTTTCTGGTTACCTACCCATGCATCATTGCCCTCCTAATCGATCCTAATCCAATGTCCAATCAGTCTCTCCTTAACTCCTTAGGACATCACTTCATCTTAAGTGCAGACTTAAGTGCCAAGCACCGAAAATGGGGTTCCAGAACAACGAATTTTCGTTGCCGAAATTAATTTTAGCCAAACAATAAAGAAAATTTATTAGAGAAATGTTTAATGCAATTAAATGCAAATATTACTTAATATAAAACACTTATGAAATCAATTTATTTTTTTAGGGTAGGGGAGATGACGTTGTTGCTCGGGAGGAACCGAATGTCTAAAGCCGGCTCTGAAGCTGTCCACACTCAATTCCCAATGTTTTCACCTCCTTATCTTCAACTCTTCTACCTACTGGCCCACAGATCCTAACCGTAATCTTGATATCATTGATTTATTTATTCACAGCTGCTTAGGTCCCCTCAATTGTTCCATTTCACTTGGATCCGTTCCCAAACCTTCTCCACCGTCATTTATCAGGGGCCCAGTTAACTAGGACCTTTTCTGCCAAATCCTGTCCGATCTTAATATATTCCTAAAAACTCCCGAAGATCTCGATAGCGCCGTCAATTCCTTTATTACCACGGTCCAGCAAGCTACCTGAACTGCCTCCTCCCCAAAAGACTTACCAAGAATTCCTAGAAAGACCATTCTACCCCAACACTTCCTTGACCTAATCCACATCAAATGCCGTTCCAGTTTATTATGGCAACGTACTAGACATCCACCCGATCGCAGATCCTATAATTATTATTGTAAAAAATTAAAACTGGAATTATCCATCTTCAGATCACAATCCTTAAAACTCCTACCTATCCTGCCTCTCTGCTCCTGTCAATTACCTTTCGAAAACCACAACAAAAATCCTAACTCCCCACCACATTTCCTATTCACTCGAACGAGATGACGGGTCCTGGGCAGCATCTGACAAAGATAAAGCCGAGGAGTTCCTATCCAATACATTTATTTCAAATCCAGAATCCCATCCCGCCCATACCGTAACAATAGAGCATGGGTTCCCAAACTTTTTTTCAGTAGCGGGCATGCTGATAAATAGTCAGGATGCTGTCAGTTTCAACCCAAGTTATAGAATCATCATCAGGGCTGACAAATTTATAACATCAGAGATATAATATTATATAACAAATAATAGTTAATAATGATAAACAGTGATGTAATAATATGTACATGATGAGTAATAATAATAATCAATATAAAATGGTGTGAATACATGATGAGATAGACTAATAGAATACGTAATAAGCTATATATAAATAATAATAAAAGGCTTAGCGAACCCGAAGGTTCGATGCTGACACGACCAATCGGCTATTACATACCTCTCTCCACCGCTCGCCGTCCAAACCCAGTCCCTTCTGATCGGCTTTAATGCAATCTTCCCACCTACGCTTTGGTCTACCCCTCGGACGTTTACCATTCGGTACAGCAAATATTAACTTTTTAGGAATTCTCTCGTTACAAAGTCCAACCATTTTACAAGCGCATTTGATTCTCCGGGATGAAATTATCTCAATTATATTACTCGGATACAGTTCACGCAATTTGGTGTTATGTAACCGTCTGAACTCTCCGATTAATTCATCCTTCTTCGGTCCGAATATTCTACGCAATACTTTATTTTAAAAAACCTTAAGACGTTGCTCATTCCTTAATGTAAGCGGCCACGTTTCGTATCCATAAAGAACTTTAGGTAAGATAATGGTTTTATAGATTCTAATTTTTATGTTCCGGGACAAGAGGCGCGAGCTAAGTAGTTTTGTCACAGAAAAATAACATGCATTTTCCGCCTTCAGTCTAACCTTAATCTCTTCTTCAATTTTCTAGTTATCGTAAAACCTAGATACCTAAACTTCTCTACCTGTTCAAACATATTATCATCTACATCGATATCACCAGTAATATCGCTATTTTTGCAGCTAACCATATATTTTGTCTTATCAGTGTTTATTTCGAACCCTAAAGTACCAGATCATTCGCACAGCCCAGCACGGGTGTTGTCCATCCAGATCCAACCCTTTTTCGGTACGCATTACCTCCCTAATGGCATATTATAATGCCAAATTGAACAGGACAGTCGAAAGAGAATCTCCCTGTTTTAAACCCGAACGAACCTAAAACTTTTTGGACAGATTACTACCGATTCGAACTTTATTGAGTGTTTCCGTCAAGCACATCCTGACTAGATTTACTAGTTTTTTTTGGAATCCCCTGCTCATTAGAATATTATACAGTTTCTGGTGGTTAATAGAATCGTAAGTCTTTTTGAAATCGATATACAGCTGGTGAACAATACCGTTGTACTCTAATTTCTTCTTTAATATTGGCCGTAAAGAAAATATTTGATCAATAGTCGAACGATTTCGTCTAAATCCGCATTGGTAGTCTCCGATCATTTCCTCGGCGTATTACTAACAATTCCATCAAATTGTTGAGCAAATTCGCAGTTTACCTGCCGCCGAAAAAGCAGAAGAGTTCGCATCTACTTCAAATACCACCTTCTGTTAGAAATATAATTTATATATAGAATTATTATGGCGGGTTCCTAAGGGAAAAAACATTTTATTACAGAGATAAACCCCCATAAATGACGTGAGTTGGCCAAACTTGGAGTTAATAACAACTTCGAATTCTGATAAAATGTTATTTCTTCAGACGAAACTAAGTTTAACATATTTCATTATGATGATGATAAGTACGTTTGACGGAAACTGGACCCTGAGTTTTAAGTTCGACATTTGAGGCGCAATGTAATAAGACATCGAGGTGGAAGTGTCTAAGTTTGAGAGGGCAAGTCATGGAATGGTGTTGGAAACTTTACCTTTATTGGCAATGGTATGAATGCGTTTTGCGACATAATTTAACAAGTAGAGCCGAAAATATGAGGATCAAAGATGCATTTATTTTCTGACAGGACAATGACGCCAGGCACACAGCAAATAAAACAAAAGAAATGGAATGAACAATGGATGTTTTCGGGCTAAAGCCCCCCCCCCTTCCTATATGGTAAAATATAACCATTCTTAATAAAAGAAAATTATCTCTAAAATTTAATTTTAATTTAGTTAATTAGCTTTAGTTGACTTCAATGGAATTTTATTAATAAGATACAGGACCAAACATTCAAAATTATGTGTTTTGTCTGATTGTATCTCTTTGTAAACGAATTGAGCGCCATTCTGAAGCGGCTTCTTGTTTAGTGACGCATTAGTTTAGCCGTTTATTGATGCTGTCGTTGTGATATGATACTCTGTAAAGTGGTTGTTTAGTTTTGTTTAGTACATCTGATAAACAGCTCGTTTTGGTTGTTTCACTTTTATTTTCGATTAGTTATTCCAGAAATGGATGTTTTAGACGCTGTCAGGGAGTTACATCTAAATCTTCTCCCTGTTGATTGGGTAGATCATTTGTGGTCTAAAGATTTTGCTGGTGAGAAAAACATTCCTGATGAATATGATTCACAAATGCCTAATGTAAATTATTCATTTTTAATGGATAATTTGGCTGAAGCTATTGAGGGATGGGATAGTGGCCACAATAGTTCTAATATGGCATTCAAAAAGTCTTGGCATACCCTAATCAAAAACAATGTTGAATATAAAGGATTAATTTGCTTGATAAGCGTATTTCTTGACATTGAAAATAAGGAACCAAAAAAAGCAACTTATGTATTAGCTTTTAGTGCCTCAAGACTTTACATAGCTCTACTTTCCATACCTGGTTCTCTTGCTTGCAATATATTTAATGACACTTTGTATGACCTTGTTCTTACGATTTTTACTAATTCCTTCAGTCTAATCCCCAAAAAAAGTGCAAATAAGAAAAACAAAAAGAAAAAACAAGATAGAATGGAAGAAGATACTGATAAAGATGATTCTGTCAGTGAACTTTCGGAATGGGATAAACAGGATGTATTGCAAAGACTAACTGTTATGCTTGATGGCTTGTCATTATGCTTAAGAGAGTTATCTTTGAAAGGTGAAGACGAATCTTTGGCTCTAACAGTTAAAACACTTGTTAAAATGACACAATTGGAATGGCAAACAAATGTTTTCCAGCATAGTCCAAAACCCAACACAGTTGGTGATGTTATTTTAAAATCGTACAATGTATTACAACAGCTTTGTAATTCTGATCATGGTGAGGTAGAACTGACTATTAAGACTATCATGAAGTTTTTTCTTCCCACCCTTGTTATTAATGAAGAGAATATTAAAATGGCAGGAAGAAGCAATTTTTCATCTTATGACAACACAATTGTGTTTGTTAGTAGGCTCTTGGACAACTTTCAAAAAGACGCATTGTATGGGGTTAAAGCAGTCATTCAACAATTGTGTGTGAGAATGCCTGACAAAGCAGATATTCGAGTCAAAGCCATTCCCCAAGTAGTCCAGCTTTTGGGCTTTCTCCCCTATAGTGCTTTTGAAGATTTAATTCTGTGGATAGTAAGTTTGGCGCATTCTGACTCAGTTAAATATCGAATCTGTGCTATTGAAGTTATCGCTAAGCTTCTGAATGTTTCGGATATTCCATACTCTTCATCATTGGAGAACAGCTTGAATGATAATGATGTTTTGAATATTAGCGTAAATTATGGTGTTGAAAATAGTCAAAGCAAAAGACAAATTAAGCTTCTTTATAAATTTTTAGTTGGTGCTATACTGTCTCGTTCACTTGATGCCTCTCCCATTTTAAGATCTAAATGTTTGAGTATCTTTGGGTCATTACTGCTTTCAGATCACTCTGAAATCAAGGAAATTATGCGAGAACTTTTTGCTACACCCCACAAAGGTTCTGGTTTATCGAAAGCTGAAAGGTGTAAAAGCTATTTTGATTACCAGGAGTATTTTAGTACTAATACTTCTAAGTTAACTCTGCCAGTGAATGTTTTGCCAAGTGGTCATTCCATCTTGTATCACACAGAACTTTTTACTAAGGATGAGAAAGTATTTGTACGTAAAAATGCATTACAACTTATATGTAATGTAATACTTTATAATAAATTTTGGCTTTCTAGTGAGAGATTGGAGGTATGTATTTAACAAAATTATTACTCAATTTACTTAAACCATTTTATTTTAAATGTTAACTATGAATTTCAGATTCTTGTTGCTAGTAGTAGAGATATATCTTTGATGATCAGAAAAATGATAGTTAAAAGTCTCACAGATATTTTACTTCTTTATCCCTCTAAAGTGCTAGTTGAGTCATGGGTTCATGGTGTCGTGTCTTTGATAGCTGATAATGATATGAAATGTCAAGAAAAAGTTATTGATGTAAGTTATAGATAATAAGTTAAAGTATATAATTAAGTGTCATGGTACTAGATCATGTTTGAATCACGTTCAGATGATGTTTGGGCCAAGATTACTGAGATAGCAATTAACACGGATTGCTGAAAAAACCTTATTTGTCCCATATTTCCATTTAATGATAACATCAATATTTACGTTTAGTTAGATTGCATATTATTCGATTTTATTCTTTCATATAGAATTTTTTAGGTACTAATTCCTATTAAATAATAAAGAACTACTCTTTTAGCCATCTTGGTTGATTCCAGGTTATCCACAATGTTTCAGATAAGGTTTACACCAGGCAGCGCCACTATTGTGGAGGTGTTGCCTTGTCAGCCCTTCTCCCCTTCAAATGCTTTAAAATTAAAATTTTCCAATTCCACTAAAAATTCAGTGATTGGTTTCTTTTATCCAAGCTCTTGGTCTTTTGGAAACTAAGATTTATCGAGAGTTATGTTTTAAAAATTCTAACTTCAGATATTAACATCATTCATCATTCTTATCACTAGGACTATTAATAGAATTTAATTCTGTCCTTTTTAGTATTTTACACCAGTTGAAACATTCTGCATTGAAATACTATTTGTTTATATTTTTTTATAAGTAGGAATTAGTAGCCTTTTTGATATCTCAGATTTCTGTGTACACATTGTAATTAATTTAAATCATTACTTTTTTTTTTAATTTCTAGTACTTTATTGTATGCCATCCACGTTGTACCAAAACATGATTATTTTGATATATAGTTTTCTAAAGGAAATAATTGTCCTTTCCAATAAAACATCCATTTATTTAAACATCATGCAACAAAGTTGCATCAATGCAATCAATGCAAGCCCCATTGATTCGTTATGAAGTTAACTTTACTTTCTTCTTGCACACATCTCATCTTTTACTAATGCTTTCAAGGTAGCCCATAAATAACATTGTCATGCTGTATATATCTGCATTTTAACACAATGGTTGTTAAAATTTATGTTATGCAAGGCAGACTTTCCCCATACATATCCCTAAGTGCATATTTTAAGAAATGAAAGGGAAAATACTGCCCTGCATATTATAAATTTTGTTGAAAGTCAAATCGAACGAGCCTTTTTTCAAACCTTAGCCATGCTACAAACATTAGGTTTGGAGATCCGAAAGTGGATGTATTTTTAAATGTAATGGATGAAATTTAATGACATTGTTACCTCCTTGATCATTTGTTTATCAATCCCTATTTTACCTCCAAATATAGCTCAAATCGAACTTCTGGTTTTCGGGATAGAGGCAATTTAAGAAAATACTTATAAGTTCAGGATTTTTTTACCATTGACAGTCTATTATATTATATTTTAAAACTTTATTTGTAGAGTAGCCTTCGGTGTCCGTGCACCATATTCAAACCAAACGTCATGAACTCTACGAACAAAAGTAGGAGGAGGATTAGGGAGAGAAAATTTGGTACTTTAGATGATAGTCCTGCAGAACTTCATCCTTTTTTGTTATCTCTTACTAAATATTGTCAATTAATATTGATCAGTATACTGGGTGTTTCAGCAACTCGGCATAGTTGAGCAACTGTACAGTTTTATTGTACTTTTCTCTGTTACAGGCTATCCAGCGCTTCTCCAAAAACTTCTCACACATTTCCCCGTATTTCAGATTTTTCCCTTACATGTCTCTGTTTCACATAAAAATATTAATAAATGCTGTTATGTGTAACATTAATTAATTACAAATTAAAATAATGAGTACAGCTGTCTATTATGTAAACTCGTAATGCAACAGATACTCAAGTTACAATTTTTATTTTTTTTTATTCAAAGCATATTTGAGTACTGGTCTAAACAAAATTAATGCAAACTGTATACAAAAGATTCTTAGTAATCGGAGATGATTAATTTACCTACAATTATTCGCTTTTACTATCTTAAAAGCCTCTGTTTAGTCCTATTATTTCTGAAAAAAGAAGAGATTAATTAGAAGCAAGAAGAGGGGGCATTAAGGAAGCAGATAAGGGAGTTAAAAAATCAAGAAGTACAAATGAGTCCCGTAAGTTCTACAAAGTGGTGAATAGTGTTAAGTGTGGGTCGACTAGGAGAACCAACCTAATCAAGGACGGCCATGGCAACATGCTAATGTCAGAAGAAGTGCAAGAAAGGTGTAGTTTATTGAACAGGAGAACTATCTAGAAGACCATGTATAATTAATTACCTGTGGGTATTAGAGATGGGAAATTTGATTCTTTTAACTGAATCGATTCTCAACGATCCAATCATAGTAGTAAAAATAAATTTTACTTCAAATTAAAAAAGAATTTTTATATAGAAAAAAAAACCAACGGTAACAAACTTTCTCAAACCTTATTGTTATTCAGGCAAAAACATTTTTTTATAACTTATTGTAATTAAAAGTCCCAAATATATACAAATAAAAAGTCATGAATCTTATAAATAGGAAGGAAGTTTAAATTTGACAGAAAAAGTTTTTGGACTGAATCATTATTCTTTCCTGTGAATTGATTGAGAGTATGATTCTTTCAGAGGAATCGACTCTTTGATTTGATTCTCGATTCTTCTGCCCAGCTCTAGTGGGTATTAATGATGAAAATTTGGAAACCATTCCACCCGATGTAAAGGATCTCAAAGCCATCTTGTGTAAACTCAAAATTAATAAATCGCCCAATAATGATGGACTCCCAGCAGAATTGGTTAAAGCTGGGCATCATGAAATCGCCAGGGAACTACGGGGAGGTGATAGCTTAGGTATGGGAAGAGGAAACCATACCTAAGGAATAAAATGAGGCTTTAGTAGTGCCTGTATATAGGAAGAATGGAGATTCAATGATATGCAGCAACTATCAAGAGGTTAGGTTGCTTAACACTGCATATACATTTTTTTCCATATCTCTGTGCAACTAGAGATAAGCAAAAAGTACTCTGAGTAGAAATTACAAATTACAAAGTATTTTACTTAACTGCTTGCACAGTTTGAGTATCGAGAACTTGACAATTTTTGAAAATTAAAATTAAATCAAATAAAATGCCGCTAGTAAACAGCAAATTTTTCTGTGAATCAAAGTAGGATATTATAGAAATAGAACTTTTTCACTATCAAAATATAGTTGTTTTGTTTTCTAGGACATTACTTACTAATGTCCAGATACTACAAGGATTTTATTAAATATTTTCTTTCTCTTTTAAAGTTTGAATCAAATTGATATGACAGATGTTAAATTTGATGTAAAAGCATGCATAAGTATTTCTGAATATATTCAGTTGAACCAAACTTTGAATGAAGACCTCAAGAATGGATAGATCTTTTTTTGTTGGACATTGAAAAACAGATTTGCTATTTTGCAAAATCTATTTGAAAACATCTATTATGTGAACTTAAAAAAAAAATTGTTTGAGGCTTTCCAAGTTAAGGAGGGTGTGTTCTGTTGCATGCCATCCTCTCCAGTTCGGACCAAAGCCGATAATCTAGTGGTTTGAGATCGAGGCTTCCTGAGGGCCAATCAGCAGAGGCAGAGATGAACTCTGGTATGTTCTTTTGCAGCCACTGCTGAGTTGACCTGGCCTTGTGAGCTGGACCGGAATCCTGCTGGAAAACCCAATGACTTCTAGCAAACTGAGTATCATTTAGAGGCTTGATGACAGGTTCCAAAATATTGTCCTGATACTTTTTAGCGGCTGTTTTAACTCCTTTTTCACAAAAATGGAGTGTACTATCAAAGCAAATTCCCTGCCAAACCATCACTGAGGAAGGGTGATGATCTCTTTCCACTCTTCCAATGACTTCCTGAATTTCTTTAGAGCTGTGTGTGTACACACGATCATTTTGGCAATTGAATTTTCTTTAATGGTAAACATTTTCTCATCGCTAAACAAAATCTTTCGATGAAGACCATTGATGTTACGGCCAAGGAGCGAGCACTTTGCATCTATCCACTCTAAGTTTTTTTAGGGAAGTGGTTGGCCTTTGTCTTGTCATTCTTCGAAATGCACCCATCTTTAAGGTCACTTTTTATTATGCGAGACATTGATCTAACAGAGATTCCCATTTGCCGTTCTCACAGTGCGAGGATGGCCCAGTCGAGGTCTAACACATACCGATAGGGTCTCATTATATCTATTTATACTGCGATACAGAACATATGGCTGATACCCATAGATTTAGAAATGTTGAAAATTTCTGACCTACATTTTCCAACTTTGTGTAAGGCAATCACAGCTATTTGGTTTTTTTTTGTCATCCCACTCCATGTTAACAGAGCAAAAAATAAAAACTAATTTAGATTAATATCCTGACGTGTAAAGGAAATAACCTGATAGAGGTAAGGATTATCTAAATAATGCCCAAGGATGTAAACAAAGTTCAACTTTTGTAACAGTATTTATGGAAGAACTAGGTAGAAACCCTAAACTGCCAAGTGCTACCACATAATTAATATTTTATAACTTTAGTTATAGAAAATACTAATTATCATTGGCTATAATAGTTCTTATTATGATTCTATTTATTTGTTGGCTATTTTATTAATTATAAACTGATTTTTAGGTAATATGGTATTTGTTTTTGTATTCGATTTCAGAGTCTAATTTTGCTTTATTCTTAATGATTTTTATTTTCATTTATAGTTAGTGAAAAGTGTAATCCTGGAAAATTTGGCAGTTTATGAGAAAACTGATAGTCCACGTACTAAACTGCCATGGGTAGTATTATCTACCATTGCATTAATGGGCAAAAGAATATTATTAAAATTTGCATGTAGAACATGGTGCATAAATAAGAGTATCACGTAAGTTTTTTTTCTCTAAAAGTTATTTTGTTTTGATAGTTTATTTTTGAATACTTGATGGTTGACCATTGTATATTATTGAATAAGGAGATGGTCCTTACTATAGTTTTTTCACTATTTTAGTTTGTTTATGACAACCAGCCCGGACCGTCTCCTTATTCGGTAGTGTTTTTTGTGCTCTTGTATATTTATTCTTGTATTTTACTTGCATTTAATATCTTACTCATAGAGTGGTTAATTATATATATATATATATATATATATATATATATATATATATATATATATATATTGGTTAAAATATTTAACCCTAATATCTATCTATTATTGTTGCTGTTACTTGGTATGGTATATGGCTGGCATTTTAGATATAATCTAAAACTGCAGAGTTTAACCTGATTTTTGAAGTTGCATTGTGGTTTAGTTAACTATTACATATTGTCTCACTACCACATCTTTATTTGTCTCCTTAATCTATATTTGTTGTCTTGTATCAGTTTTTGTTTGCCAACTTTATTATTGATATCTTCTATGCTAGAGAAGATCAATAATGATTGTCGCCATTTTAGGATGATTTGTTTTTATTTTTATTTAACTATTTATTCCTGAACTTTTTAATTAATATTCTTGAGGAATCAGAATGCCATGCAAACTATGGAAGTTGGCTGGAACAGCTGCAAGATAAATGAAATAAAGGGTGTTATTGAATTAAATAGAATAAAAAAATAGGTATAATATTGTTTGCAGTATCGAGATGACCCTGCATATCGTCTCCCCTGCCTCAGTGAGGCTCATAGTTCTTAAAAGTATATTGATAAGAGGAAATAGTTTGGTAAGTGTATACAGACATTGTTTTATTTCTAAGTAGTTCTAGGTTATTTTTTTTAATGTAATAAATAAGTCTTTTCAGGATTTACTTGTCTTCACAGGAGGTGTGTGTTTTCAAAGCCACATAGGCTCAGCCATTTTAACTTTCTACTCTCACAGTAGTTTAAGGCTATTAAACATTTTATTATTCTCTATTATTTATTTATATCAATCACTAGCTTGTTAGTTATATACCTTGACTCTCAAGTGAACATAAATAACGACATGAATCCTAAAATACAGAGGCGCATTATGGCCACAAATAGAGCTTATTTTGGTCTCGAGGGACATCTCAAAAGTAGAGTGATCTCGTAAAACCAAGCTGCCTCCTGCTTGACTTAGCAGGGGTTGTAGAGCCATTGATGGTGATGATGATGACTAGCTTGCAAAAAAAAAAATCTGTCTAACAAACTCTAAAAATGCATCCCTGTAGTAATCAAGTAACTTTGTAAGGAATAGGACGGTAAACAAGTTTTCTTTTTCCACTATTTCTTTTTTTTTTTTACATCGATCAAAAGTTAATGGAGTTATATAAAATTTATTTATAACAACTATATTACTTGGTTATTACAAAACTCCTTGTACATAAATGTAGTTTTTTATTTCGTATTACATATTTTAAATATTCTTAAATACTACTCTTCAAAGAAAAGTTCATTGTTTTCAACTGCTTTCTGCCAGTAATTGGGTTTGATGCAGGCACCACTCCTTAAGTTTGTGGTAAAGAACTCTTCATATCCAATTTTTACGTCATCTTAATTATTAAAGATCCAACCTTTTAAAAAACGAGCTATAGGTATAAAATATCTGGGCTGTAGGCAGGATGAGGCAAAATGTTTACTGCTTGCAATTCCATTAATTTTTTCTTGGTCAAACAAGAAGGAAGTACAGGGGCATTGTTGTGTTAGAAAATGGCTTGGTTCCTGTTTACTAAATTAGGGTAATTTTCACACAACTGCGACTGCATAAACTCTGTCTAGCTGTTCACAATAAAGGTTTGAGTCCACTACCTGAGCATCAGGAACAAGCTCAAAATTCAAAACATTTTCGAAGTTCCACCGAACACAATTCATCACTTTTTCTCCCAGCTGATTTTGGTGAATCTCCAGTTGTGCAGGCTCACCTGGCAACACCCACTGCATCAACATCATCAACAACCGATGAGGGAACTGATCTGATTTTATCTACAAGGTTCTTTTCCCCATTGTCGAAATAACCAAAATGAGGCAGTATTTTGATGAATAACAGATCAGTCTCCTTCTATGGCGCAAATTTCTTCAGCACTTGGCCTTGTGCTTAGACCTTTTTTCCAGTTATGTCTCAAAAGACTGCGAATCACGATTTTTTCTTCTGACATTACACTTGTCTTTCCTGAATATAAATGACAGTCTAAAACCAAGAACTTATATAACAACCTTGTAACTCCTGTTTTCCCACTTCATATAACTCCCTGATTTGACTTTTTGTTATTATTTAGAATATCCCTTCTAATGTTAAATGTTATATGGGGATGAAACCGAATAAAGATTAAAGTGTCTTTTTAAACAAATGAATTTCTGTTTGTGTTATAGGGAAAATGTGGATATGTGGTTGAGAGATACAGAAATTAGCATCGTAATTTTTAAGACTCATCTGATGTCTTCCAGTTGAAGAAAGCATGAATTGGGAAAGGGGGTTGGTTCACTGTCAACATATAATTAATTGAGAACTCACAAATATAGTTTTTGGCATTTAATTTAAAAGCAATTAATTAAAATTGAGTAGACAACAATGAAATGTCTCTTTTTTAATGATTAAAATTTGCTCAAATGGGGTCTTTTTGAATATAGTAAGAGTTATAGGAAGAATATCGTCAAATTATAATAATTACTGGAATCATTGATTTATTTTATTGTAACCATAGGATTGATGTAAAATAAATTGATTAAAAATTTTAATTTGGAAGTGATAAGTGATTGGCTATGAAGGAAAGCCCTGATAATACTTTATGGTCATGATCAATCAGATTTTTTTTTTTTCATTTTAAATACCAAATAGATCTGTGATAATTTATCAATGAAAATCTAAAATTATTCAAATATTATTTTTGCATCTTAAACCAAAGATGGTGTTATATATTACTACTGCCTATGGATGTATTAATACCGAAAAAAGTCAAGTGACTGGCAGAAAACTGAGCTGCTGCTAACATGAACACTTCATTAGATATTGAAATTTATTAAGAAGAAAGAAGATAAATAGTATATTTAAAATAGAAAGTAATTTTGTGGCTATTTTTCTCATTTTTTCTTATAACTTTTATAAAATATACTATCTGAATTTTTTAATTATTAATAACAAATCTATTCTCTTAATATTAGCCATATGTCATCATTGTCAAAGTCTTATATATATACATATGTTATCAATGTCTTTTGGATAAGAATCGTTAGTTCTTGGTCTTGTATTATTATTTGTATTATTTTATAAATAAATGGAATTAGTTAATGATTGTATCATGGAAGTATTACTGATAAATTCAGCATCGATCCAAATTTAATTTTATATATGTTAATTAATGAGTAAAATGTTAATTTTAAATGAACTCGTAAAGAATAATTTATGTTTTAATCTGTTCTTAGAAGTTTAGTTATTATTTCTAAACTCTCTTCAACTGCGAAGTTAACAGCCATCCAATATGGTAATCCTAATCTGGTTGAATGTTGCTACTACTCATTTCCTAAATATTGGTTTATATTTTATGTTAATACCATTCTGTTTCAGGAAAAAAACCTTTTTAACTCTCCAAAGTCATATAGGCACAGAAAATAATTTTGCAGCATGGTTTTTCATTGTTTGTCTGACAGAGTTCGAAGATTTTCCTTCTCCAGGATTCTTAGCTGATTATTTCTGGGAGAATATTCATAACCATGAAGCAGTAAGTGATTTTTATTCATTATTGTGTTATTTTTAATTTATTTATTTTTATAGTCTCTGTCACTAGTATCTAAATGTGTTTGATACCGATCAAAGCCATCTTTAATCTTATAAACTTGTCGAGTTAGACGTCTGAGAGGTAGTATCAAAGGAACTCTAAAATTATGTAAGCCACTCACTAAACTGCATACTTTCAGTGGGTTAGGGTATTGCCTTAAAATGATGCATGATAGGAAACCACAAACTGGATATTCACCACCAGAATTTATAGGAGGATAAAATATGACCATAAAGGGAAGGGGTATTAGCCCTCAAATGTTTTAGATAGGATACTACAAAAAGAAGGTATTAGTCACTTAATTTAGTGGGAGATGGAAATATAGTTGAAGTATATTAGCCCTTCCAATCTTTATGAAAGAGTACTCAGGTATATATATAATAGGGTTGCCTGGAAAAATAGGAAAAGTCAGGGAATTTTCAATAGAGGGAAAAGTTAGGGAATTTGTTATTACATAAATTTTTTTTTCAGATTGAAAATAAATATATATATTAGGGGGACCGGAAAGTAATTTCGTTTTGTTACTTTAAATTCAAACTCATAAATTTGCCACAAGTTCTTATTTTTAATTATTGATTGAATCACCCTCAATATAAACAATATTTTGCTATCTAGTTTGCAAATTTTCAATGCAGGATCAATAAAAATCAATTGGTTTTTAGGCAAAATATGTACAGATGACATTTTGAACATCATTCAGAATCTTTTGCCACTTAGTAAGTGTTGAAACGATCCAAAAAAATGGAAATCTGATGATGCAACATTGGGCGAGTATGGTTATCCCAACCCAATTCGTTAATTTTTTCCAGGGTTCGTCTTACGCAGTGCGATCTTGTATTTTTCTGTTGCAGAATAACACCTTTTCTGTTAACAACCGCTGACCACTTTTCAATTAAAAATTGATTTACACGATCCAATTGCTCACAATTAAGGTCTACATTCACAGTTTGTTCAGGTTTCAGCACTTCAAAATGAGCAATGGCAGGAATTGCTTGGCAGGCTTCACCAAACACACAAAAGAGCCTTTTTGGGGTGTAAACCTGGCTTAGCAGTATTTTGTAGTCTGGCCATTCTTTTGGAGAAAGCCACATCCTTATGCGTTTTGGATTATCATACAAGACCCACTTTTCATCTCTGGTGATCCAAGCGATCAAAAAACGCTTCTGTATTGTTAACACATCATTGTCTAAAGTTGTTGGTTTTCCTGGTCTATACGAGTCGGAAAGATTAAAATTACTGGATTTAAACTTTAAAAACCACCTTTGGATTTAGGAATGTCTAATGCATTTGGTAAACATTGAAAATGTTTTTAGTAGCAACTGTTGCGTTACTACCCTTGCGGAACTGAAAAAGCATGCACTGCTTTATATGTACCTCTTCTGTCATTTAGCTGTCAGTTTCTCCAAAATTGCAAACAAAAAATTTTAATTTAGTTATTTGCAACTAAAGTAGTCACTATAACCGTAGAATGTTTTTGCCACTTTATAGATGTACACAATGAGCTGCCAAATAACCATCAAATAGACATGACATGCTCGGAAACGACATTACTTTCTGGTCCCCCTGAAAATAAACAATTTTAATGCAAGCTGCAACCTTGATTATTATGAACACCTGAGTCTTTCATTATTATAAACTATAAAACCACATCGCTATTCCAAATACAATGCCTATCGTATTTTATTAAATATTTTTTACATTCTCTCTGTTATTTATTAGGAGATTAATTAATTGAAGCTCCAAATCATTATTAATTACTACCTTTGCTTAGTTACTTAGCCACTCTGCTGCTGTACAGCCCGGGGTGGGCCTTGGCTTCCCTTACAATTCAACTTCATTCCTCACGGTCACTTGCCTTCTCTTTCCACTGTCTTACACCCAATGTCCTGAGATTTTCTTCCATGTCTGCATGGTCGACCAACTCTTAATTTCCCAATAATTTTACCATGTAGTAACCTTCTCGGCATTCTATTGGTGGGCATCTTTATTACTTGGCCTAACCTTTCGATGCGACATGATTTAATGAATTGAACCACATTGGTGTCTTGGAACAGTGAATATAGCTCCTCATTACTGCGTATCCTCTATATATGAAAATCTTTTCCTTCACATTTTCTTTCACTTTTTGTGTTTCTATACTTTTCCTCCAGTTTATGACGGAAAGGAATAAATTATATTAGGTATAAGTTTATTTAAATATAGGCAGGAATTTTTCCTTGCTTGTTAAGTTTCTTGACTGAATTTGCCAGAAAATTACCATAACCTCAAATTACTGCAGCTGATTTTTGTATTTATCATTAGCAGAGGGTTCAAAAAATATTTTTATATCAGTAAGACTTTGGCGGTCGTTGGCTCAATGTACTTTCTGATGGAAAAACGAAATTCCAGGATCCGTTGAGTGATAACTTATCTAATGAAGATATGAAATGTTTAAATTTATTAAGAAATATCTTATTTAAGAACTTATTAGACTCATTTCAAGAAATTACACAACAAAAAATATATTCAGAATTCAGCAAAAACGCTTAGAATATTTTTAATGATTTATAACAAGTTGCATTATTAATATGTTAAAAACTGGCTTTTTATTTATATTTCATTGAAAACCTTGGAAACTGATATTTTTATTCCTGCCTAAACTTTGGGAATATACGAGTTAACCATGTCAGACATTAAAAACATAGAAATTTGATTGATCATACCACATTGAAAATATGGATTTTTGCCGCTCTCAGACCACTGCGCAGCGTTGCGTTAAGATACAATTTTGTATAATAAACCATTACAAAAAAGGTGAAATGCTGAACATTTCCGTTACATTATGCAGATCTGAATTTTAGTTTTTGAGATATTTTAATCCATTAGCGTGTTTTGTGAGTCAACCAATTGAAGTGCTTTTGCATATGGATTAAAATATCTCGGAAACTGAAATTCGGAACTGCATACTGTAATCAAGGAAAATGAACAACTTTTTCATCCTCTTTGTATTAGCGTATTATTTAAAATTGTATCTTAATGTGACGTTGTGTTAGAGAGGTGAAAAGGAAAAAAATAGTGTCTAAAACCTACTGATAATGAGTTTTATTGATTATATGGATTAAAATATCTCAGAAACTAAATTCGGACCGCCATACTGTAAGCAAGGAAAATGTTCAGCATTTCATCCTTTTTGTAATGGCATATTATTCAAAATTTTATCTCAATGTGACACCATGTTAGAGAGGCGAAAATGTAAAAAATAGTGTCAAAAACCAACTGATAACGAGTATAAAACTAATCAATAAATGGTGATATGGATTAAAATATCTGAGAAACTAAAATTCGGAACTGCATGGTATAAGTGAGAGAAATGTTCAGTATCTCATCCTCTTTGTAATGCCTTATTATTCAAAATTGTATCTTAACGTGACCAAGAGAAAATTTCCTTAAAATGCTCCTAAATTTTAACTTTTTGAAGGTTTCAAATGTCCCTAAAACTTTAAATCGACCTGTCGGAACTGGCGAGAATTTTTGTAATACCTAACAGGAGTATTATCAGCCTGTATTGTTAAAAATTTTCTTAAATACTACAGATTTTTTGGTTCTGCCTCCAGGCCTATTAATATTGGCAAACGATAGCTACCTATGGATTATTCAAATTACAGTGATACATTTGCCTAATGTACAGAATATTATTCTGACCATTAGGTAAATGAATCACTGTAAAAAGAACAAAGGTCAAACCTGCATAATGAAAAATTATTTAAATTATATTTTGATCTAAAACATGTGGGCAATCTAAAACATGGTCATAGCATTTCATTGGCTGGCAAGCTCTCATTTGTCCGACTCATGTTGCTCCCTAAATTAGCATGTACTAACCTGAAATGTCTCAGTTTATTTTAAATTTTGATTTGGGTCCACCCCTTCTACACCATTAAGGCTATACGAGGCTTTTCATGAGTGGAAGGTTCGGAATTTAAAACTTCCCCTGGCACCAGGAAGCGAACCCATAATTATTTTATCATGTAAACTTGAGTTTATCAGGTTGTCAGGAAACGCATGTTATATACAGCGTTAACCCTCTCAGCTATCTTGTCGTTGGTATCGCATTGATAATTATTGCTCTGTGGCAATAAAAAAACTAAATTGCTTTTGTGGAACTATATTAAAATTTAAGAAGAATCTAATTAAAGGTTAGAATCAACTGTAGCTCACTTTATTTTATAATAGAGAAAAGCGTCAAGTATTAACATCCTCTCAGTTTATGAAAATAAAATAAAGGCGATAAAATTAACTTTAAGTTCAGTTTTCTAAAATAAACAATAAATAAATTCTAATCAAGTTTAAAAAATGCATGCTTCCTCTAGAAAATTATATTTTTTATTTAAAAGACTTAAGACTTTTTTTTACTCTATTCTTTCAATTTTCAATCATGTTATATAAATGAATTAGTTATAATATATATATATATATATATATATATATATATATATATATATATATGTTTATTCCTAAACTATATATTTTTAACATTTGTGTCCCCTGACATATTAGTCTGGGAAAACCTTCATTAAATAGGGAAAAGTCAGGAAATTTTACTCTGACAGTTTGGTAGCCACTCTGATTAAGTATTAAAATTGATGATTCACATCATACCTTATGCAATAATATTACTGATTATGAGTTGTTTTTTATGGGATTATTTAACAGTTTTATTTACCAATTTATTTTTCTTTTAGGATGAAACCCTAAGCCAGCTTGTGGTTGAAGCAGTTTTTCTTAACTGGAAGGGATTTGACAAGAATACACAAAATAAGTTATATTTAGAACTGAAGAAATCATTAGAATCTTATTCTGTACCATTATTTTTAATTTCTCGCTATTTGGATATGTGTTTCCTGACGGATAGAGACCAAACAAAATTATGGAGTGGACATCTTGTGGAGGTATCATTTTATTTTATATATCTGTATGCGTGTATATATTTTAATTTTTATTTATTTGAATATTCTTCTCTTGCCCATTCCACTATCTTCTGGAATTCTTTTCTTCTTATCACATTGTGGTCTGGACTTCTAAAAACACATTTTTGTAAACTGGGTAGAGCAAAAGTCACATAGTTATACATTTTTTATAGATGAGTGGTAAATAAAGCTATATGGGCCGTTAGATTTACATGAGTTTTCTCGTCCATCTGAGCTGTTGGTTTGAATAATGAAAAATGGTGAGGGGAAAACTGTGTTAGTTTAGAATGGAAACTGACATTCTTTTACTGCACTATCTGTTTTTTTTTCACCCATCGAAACTATCCATCAACGATTTGTAAACCTTAATTAGTCCTGTCAAATTAGTTAAAACAGGAGAAAAGAATTCCAAAATTTTGAAGCGCATTTAATGGTAATTTTTCTTGAATATCTCAATAAGTTTTGTGTTTACCAAAAAAGGACTTTTAAATATTGTATTAGATCATATTCTCTTCCTTTATTTCCTGTTCACTGTAATTTTGTAGATATGAGTCCGAGGAATACAAATAAAAAATCTTCTGTTTATTTTTCCTGATTTTGGTGTCTTAATTATTGTAAAAAATAAAAAAAATAAAAAATATGATTTTTGGGCTCAATCTGCACAATAGCAAGTAGAAATAATTTAAATTCTTATTATTCATCCATAAAATCGTGCTTAAAAATTACTGGCAGTATTAAAGGTTTTTTTTTTTTTTAGAAAAGTAATCACTCAGATGACTGGATTTTGTTGTGTAATTTAATTCGTAGAATTGCAAATTCTCTTATTAAATATATTAATTACTATTAACTAGCCTCAATTGAAGTTGGCGTTTTTAAAAAAAAAATTGTCCTTCATGTATAAAATTCATAACAATTTAATAAGTTGACTGTATATATTTTAAAGGAAAGAGATGGTCCGAGGTGGCGCTCATAAATAGGCTAAATAGTGGTAAAACTATTTTATTCATAGCCGACGTTTCGACCCGACTTTGCGGGTCTTCTTCAGGGCTAGAATGGACAAGATACAAAACGATAGAGAATTGTGGAAGTTACATAATATTTAGACAAAATTTATAAACAATGTGAATATGCATATTAAAAATATAAACAGTAAATACATTAAAATATGAACAAAGTAAGCTAAGTAACAAGATCCTATACTGAAGTAAATAGATGCTAACAATTGTTGTAATGTAGTATATAATAAATGCAAATGTGAATATACTTCTACAGATCTACAGGAGAGATTGAAAGAAAAGGAAAAAGGATATAATATGAAATAATAGACATAAAGGAATGTGGAGAAAGAAAGGAAAAAGAAAACCAAAAATTAAATAAATAAGTAAATGAAATGGAAGACAAAAATTAGAGACTTGCCGGTGTGTTCAGCTAGGAGTTTCACTTAAAACTGAAAATCCAAGGGTAAGGGCAGGTATAGGGGAAGTTGACTTGTTTGGGTAATGGGGAAAAACCTAGGAAATTACAGTATCTAAAATTTGAAGATATGGATGGATACGATGGAAAAAATACTATATCTATGAAATATTAAATTATAAATATATACATATACATATAAAATAGAATTGAGAGATAATTCTTTTTCTCAATTCTATTTTATATGTATATGTATATATTTATAATTTAATATTTCATAGATATTGTATTTTTCCATATTTTTACAATTGTTAGCATCTATTTACTTCAGTATAGGATCTTGTTACTTAGCTTACTTTGTTCATACTTTAATGTACTTACTGTTTATATTTTTAACAAGCTTATTCACATTGTTTATAAATTTTGTCTAAATGTTATGTAACTGCCACAATTCTCTATCGTTTTGTATCTTGTCCATTCTAGCTCTGAAGAAGACCTACAAAGTCGTGTCGAAACGTCGGCTTTGAATAAAATAGTTTTACCACTATTTAGCCTATTTATGACCGCCATCCCGGACCATCTCCTTCCTTTATAATGCAACGGTCAACTATTAAATATTCAGTATATATTTTAAGTTTGAATTATTGTATAAGTAAAGCCAAAAAACATTGTTTTTAAATTTTTTATTCCTCCACTTATCTATCAAATAAGTGATAATTAGAAAAAAATGAACTGGACTTTTTAAAAGAGAATTCGTAATTTTGTTGATGTAATTATATATTAAAATCTAGACATCTGAGTGATTTTTTTTCCCACAAAAGACATTTTGTCTCCTGTAATTTTGAAACATGATTTTATTGTAGGTAGGTATGTGTATTTAAACAATTTATAACTTAAAATTTGTGATTTATCTTCTTAATTGGCACTACACTCCGCGAGGAGCAAGGCCCGCAACTATGACCACCAGTCGTCTCCTGTTGTGCTGTTCCTCTCCAGTTCCTTATGCCAAGAATCGACTGAGCGTCATCTGTCACACCCTTAGCCCAGCACCGCTTTGGTCTGCTTACCCATCTTTGTCCACCCACATCCATTCATGAATTATCTTCCTCGGGATTTGATCATCAGCCATTCTCGCCACATGACCTGCCGACCGTAATTGACTCATCTTGATGACAGTGGTGATAGTGGCATTGTAAAGTGCCATTGCTTCGTGGCCTCCAGCCAACCTCACTATAGACCGCATTGTAGTAGATCCTACGGTGAATCCAGCGTTCACCCTTCCCTTTGCCATATGTCGATGAGAAGGTTGTGCAGGAACCTTACCAATTCTTCACGTCCATGTTTAAACAGTTCCGCAGGCAGGTTATCTGATCCAGAAGCTGTTGTTTAACCTATCTGTGACCATTTGGCCTCACCTTCGTCCGGAGGGCTCTACTTCTTCTGGTATTTCTGCAGCATCATTTTCTACTCTATCACCACCCTCAAGTAAAGAGCAAAATTGGTTCTTACATCTTTTAAGGACCAAGATAGCAAAAGTCTAGGGAAGTGATACGTCCAATGTAGGCTATGATGCCAATGGGTGTCGTTTATGAGTTTTTTTTTATATTCAGTTTTGAACTCTGCAGCAACCAGAAATTTAGTTTAGAGATATCTAATTGTCGATTAGTAGTATTGTTCAAAAATTCCATTTTACAGATATTTCAGGAACGGTTGAGTTGCCTTTTGATTTTTAACTGTTAATATTGGCGAACGATAGATGCCTTTGTATTATTTAAATTATATTTTTATTTAAAGCATGTGGCAACGGTCATAGCAATTCATTTGCTGGCCAGCACCCGTTCGTCACACCCGTGGTGTTCCTTATAGTCCTGGAGTTCATGACAAAAAGGTGTCATATTTCATACTAAGGTTTGTCCTTATAAATTAACCATATCCACAGGACTGATGAAAAAAATGCATGTCTGCCAGCATATAGAAGCTGGAATACAAAATGGTGGCCATGTGAAGATAGCAGAGATTAAGGTTGCAAGCATAATATACAGGTGTGAGGGGCGGAGAGTGGAGGGAGGAGAGAGGCTATTTATCGCATCAACAAAGAAGTTCTATACTAAATTAAATTATTATAATTTAAATGCAATATGATCCATTATATAACAGTTTTCGCTATCTCGCTTAGTTTCTGAGACATCCGTTCTCCATTATCACTAATGTGGAAAAAAAAAATTATCTCATGTTTTTTACTGTATTTGAATGCTTAAGTCATGGGAAAGAAAGTTATTAACAATTAAATTTTCTTCAAGAATATATATATATATATATATTCTTAGCTATAGCTATAGCTAACTCTTGGCTGCTTCGTTCTACAATTAGGTCATGGGAACAAAAGTTTTTAATTTAAATTTTCCTCAAGAATCAATATAATTTTACTAGGTTATTTTCAATGCTTCAAAAGTTAGATAAATTATGTAGTCCGTGGTATAGACAGGTTTTTGTCAACTTATTAACATCTGGCTGAAACTTTGTAAATAGCTTCATCTCATCGTAACCTACAAATATTTTATTTATGAAAATTCTCGGAATTGGCGCGTTTTCAATCTGGAGGTTGGCAAACTTTGTCTATTTAATTAGGTACTAAAAATTCATAAATACCCATTTGCTTTCCACTTTAGTCGTACGGTAACTTGAGCATAAAGTCTAGAAAAAAGGTGACCTTCATAAATATCGAGCCGTTTGGTGTAACCTACACCTACAAATTGTCATAATAACGAGGTCATATAGGCGAAACGGCTCAATATGTTTGAAGGCCATATTTTTTCTTGACTTTGTGCTCAAGTTATCTCACGGTTCTAGTTAAAAGAAAATGTGTATTTACGGGTTTTTGGCATCTAATTAAATTGACAAACTTTGCCTACCTCCAGATTGAAAATGCCTTAATTCCAAGAATTTTCGTAAATAAAATATTTGTAGGTTACGATGAGATGATTCTTACAAAGTTTTAGCCGGATGTTAATAGTTTGATAAAAACGGTTCTCTACCACAGACTATATAATTTATCTAACTTTTGAACCGTTGAAGATAAACTGGTAAATTATATAGATTCTTGACGAAAAATTAAATTCAAATTAAAAACTTTTGTTCCCATGACCCAATTGTAGAACGAAGTAGCCAAGAGTTAGCTATTGCTAAGAATATATTGTAACATCTCTCTTATATTTTACAAATAATAATAATATAACCTCGGAAGCTCACTTCTTACCATTGGGATACTTCCTAAATAAATAAGAGGTTGTTTAATAATAAACAAAATTATAAGAGAATTAATATGTTTATTTATCTCAGGTGTGGCTTACTGACAATCAGATTAACTCAGACAAACTATTATTATTTACACTACAATTAAACACTGATTTTAAAATAAAGTCAATTATGGATTGGCAAGCTAACCTTTTTCTATATACACTGTTTCTTCCTTTGTTGCACTAAATTCAATTGTCTTCAAATGCTTTCTAATGTTCTGCCAAACATGCCCTTCTTGGGAAACTACAGAGCAGCCATCTTCTTTTCCCTGCACTAGTAGAACTAGATTAGCTTGCCTTTTAATTGTTAAACATTAATTTATCAAACCCTTTTTACTCACTTCCAAGGTGTACATTACAATATATATATATATATATATATATATATATATATATTCTTGAAGAAAATTTAATTGTTAAAAACTTTCTTTCCCATAACTTAATCGTAGAATGAACAGTCAAATACAGTAAAAACCATGAGGTAAAATTATTTTTCCCAAATTAGCGATAATTAGGGACGGATAATTCGGAAACGAAGCGAGAACGAAAAATGGTATATAATTAATCTCATAGAAAATTTTATTAGCTTTAATTTTTTATAGAACATTTTTGTCGATGTGATAGATAGTTTTACTGATATAAGCGGAAAATAGGAATAAACAGGAGGCAATTTTTTTTACAAAATTCACCATAGTTGAGGATAGATATCTCAGTAACTAAGCGAGATAGCAAAAAAATGTATGCAATCAATCATATTGCAAATTTTATCAGCTTTAATTTTTTATAGAACGTCTTTGTCGATGCAATGGATAGTTTTCCTTATATAAGTGAAACCCCGAAAAAAATTGTCCTAGGGCCTCCTTCCTCCCTCTCCCACACCTGGCTTACCACCCAGGAGTGGGGACTTTTAGTATGTTTATTTCTTCACTAGTCCAAACAATCTACCCAAATCAAAAATTGTTTCTCTCCCATTATATTTTTTAATCATTCATTCACTGAACTACTTGGCCATCTCGCCTCATAGTTGCTATTGTATGGATAATTATTGTTCTGTTTGTGGCAATAAAAAACTAAATTTCCTTTGTGGAACTACATTAAAATAAGAATCGCCCCTAGCTCAGTTGATTTTATAATAGATAAAAGTATCAAGTATCAACTTTTACATACTCTTTATGAAAATAAAGTGCTTAAAGTATTAGTAAATAGGCGTTAAAAATAAATTACTTAAAGTTTAGTTTTCTAAAATAAAAAAAATAAAAAAGCCTAAAGTTTAAAAAATGCTTCCTCTAGAACATTATATTTGTTTTTTAAAAGACTGAACAGACTTTTTTTTACTCTAATCTTTCAATTTTCAATCATGTATGATAAATTAAATAGTTATAAATTATTTATATAGTTATAGTTATAAACTATACATTTTTAACATTTTGTCCCCTGACATATTGGTTAGGGAAAACTTTGGAAAAATCAGGGAATTTTACTCTGATAATTTGGTAGCCACCCTTTATATAGATATAAGGAACACAACAATATGCAATTTATAGTGATGTGGAGGCAGAGTGTACGGTAGAGGAGTCTGGCCGACAGACTATCCTCTCCCACCAAACCTTTCTCTCCCCTCCATCACTCCTCATTCAAAATATTACAATTAATAAATATGTATTTTATTACTGACTCATTTCAGACAGGTTATTGAAGATAAAAGGCAATTGCATATGATCAGACATGAAAAATAATGTAAATGGGAAATATAATTTTCTAAATTTTGAAAACCTGTATTTCTCTTATATTATTTAATTTACCGATCCAGTTCTGGTCTTAAATTGTAGCATATTTAATCTTGTTTAAAAATGAACTACTGGGTTTTATCCAGTAGACTTACTACAACTGTTAGAAAGTGAATTTATGCTTTTTCAATCTATATCAATAACTTTTAGATTTTAACCAGCCTTTGTTCAGAAGGATAAGTACTGTGAAGTAAAGAAAACTCCTCAAATGTTTTATTTTATATTTTTGGTTATTCTTATAGAGGTCGGGTTTGTGTAGTTTATAGAGCCTGAAACTATTCAACAATTTTATGTGGATTGTGGAAGTTAAATTTTGTGATTTTTGAAAAAAAAAAATTTGAACAAATAAAAAATTATTTTTGATTGATATATAAATTTGTATTTAAAGTTTTTTTTTTTTAAAACAAATTTCTAGATCCAGAAATGCTAAGTAGTTAAATAGTATATGAATGACCCAGTTGCATTTTTCGCTCATGATAATGTCATTATTAATTATTACTGGTAAATTTCCAGATTGGTTATGCATAATTGTTTATTTAATATATTGTATTACAGGTGTGTGAAGAATATATTAAGAAACATATTGCTCCTGGATGTTCTAACAAGATTGCTGAAGGAACTCTTTGTTGTTGCATACATACCTTAGGAGATGCTACCCACTTTCAACCTGGAGTTTCTAGGGAAGTTATCAATTATCTTGCTAATGTTATTGATCCTTCTTTGGATTTTATTGAGGATAACCATGGTATGTTAATTTTATTTCAAAACAGCTGCATACTATTTTTGTTACTTTCTTATATATAATGGTTAAAACTTAATTATTTTTTTTTATATCTCTATGCAGAAGTAATTTATTTAGAATTTATACTGGCCATGTAAAACCTGATCTTCTCTTGATGCTACAGACCTAAGTGGTCCTTGGACTGCTGCTGCAGGGCTCTGTCCTCCACCACATGGATGCCCGCCTATCTCATGTCCTCTTCCACTTTCTCCCTCCATCGAGCTCTTGGCCTGGCCTTAGCTCTAGTGCCGAAGATCTTCCCTTTGTATACTTTCTTCACGTGTCTGTCTTCATTCATTCGGTTGACATGGTCAAACTATTACAACCTGGTTATTCGTATGAAATTTGACAATGACAGATCATTGTAGATGTTTTATACTTCTTTGTTCTTCCTACTTCGCCAGTCTCCATTCTCAAGTACTCCACCAAACATTTCTCGCATCACTCTCCTCTCGAACCTGTCAAGCCTGTCATCGGTTATCTTGTGCATTACCCAGCATTCTCCACTATAACTAATTATAGGCCTGATAAAGTTTTTGTATATCCGGATCTTATTTTGGTGTGAGACTAGGTTATTTCTTATTATGTGTCAGAAGAGCATAGTATGTTCTGTTTCCTGCCAAAATCCTTCTTTTGACCTCTTCTATTTCATTGCCTTCGTTAGTCATTAATGATCCCAGGTACGGAATTGTCTTCACTACTTCAATGTTTTCTCTGTCTAAGTTATAATACGATGGGTATTGCTGCTTCACTCTCTCTGCAATCATCAATTTGGTTTTTCTGACATTCATTTGAAGGCCAGCTTTTCCTGCCTCTTTTTTCAAGTTAGCGTATGCCTCTTCGATTGATTGCCTGCTTCTTCCCAAAATCACATCATCTGCATAGGCCATTAATTGCTGTGATTTATTGATGATTGTATTATTAGCATCAATCTTTACCTTCTTGATAACTTTATTGAGAACTAAGTTAAATAGCAAGGGGGCCAATGCATCTCCTTGTCTCAATCCGTTCTCTATTTCCAAGGACTTTGACAGTTCTCAATTCACTCTGTTTTGACAGTTAGTGTGCTTCATTGTCATTTCCGTTAAAACTGTTAGTTAAGGAGAGACCCCTGCTTTTTCCAAAGCCTTATAAACCACAGATCTATAGGTTGTGTCTTATGTCGCTCTGAAATCTACAATCGCCATGTAATCATATTATATTCCCACATCTTTTCATCAATCTGCCTGAGTGTAAAGATTTGGTCAATGGTATACCTCCCCTATTCCTTCGAAAATCGCACTGGTATTCACCAACCGCCCTTTCATAAGATGGTACAATTCAGTTATATAATAACACTGCAAAAATTTTATATGCAACATTAAGCAGCGTGATACCTCCATTGTTGTGTGATACCTCTATACGTAGCACGTCTTTCATTTCTTCCAATGTTGGGAGTATTTCTTTTTCCCACCCCTGTTCTGTTTCAGTATGTGGGATCACTGCCGCTCCATTGATGTTTCCTTGGTTTTCATACAGTAACTCTTGAAAGTAATCCCCCCATCTCTGCAGCCCCTCTTTATTTGAATTCAGCAATCGTCCTTCTTTGCTCTTTACCCAATTACTCATAAGGCACATAACTTTTCTAGATGGCTCCTATCTTCCTGTAAAACTTCCTTCTTCCATTCCTTCTGGCCATCTCCTCAATGTTCTTTAATTGCTCATCCAATGCCTCTTTTCTCTTCTTCTTTATTATCTTTTTTGCCTGTCGCTTTGCTTGTCGGTATTCCACTTCCTGTTGCCTTGTTTGCCGTTGCAAGCATTTGTGTTGGATGGCATTCCCTTTCTCGATGGCTTCCTTGCATTCATTGTCGAACCAGCCATTTCTTTTTCTTTGTTCAATGTTTCCAAGCGTTTCTACAGCTGCAGTTGAGATTATCTCCTCCAGTTTGTTCCATTTATCATCAATAGTAGGACCTTCATCCACCTCCAGGTGATACTCGTGTATTTTCCTGTCTATATTTCCTCTAAACTGAACTGTCGTTGGTTCCTTCTTTAGCTTTTCTGTATCCCACTTTATGTGGAAGGGATTGTTAGCCCCTTTGCACAACCCTCTTCTTTTATCCGGGCTTGGGACTGGCTGTGATTCCCGCAAAGCGATTTTCACTGGCTGAGTTGTAAAACCTAATCATTTTATTAAAATATAAATTAAGACCATGATAATAAATCATAATAATATGATACTATTATTACATAAGTACAATTTAATTTTTGAAGAGGGCCTTTTATAAAATGTGATAACACTGGTCATTATGATTTTTGTCTCATGAATTCAACTAGGTATTCTTGTTGCAGTTTTATTATGTTTTCAAATATTGCTCTCATTTTAAATGTTCATTCAGAATTTTTCCACCAACCACAGTTTCTTTATTATTTTAGTTCAGTTTGGTTATATACAAACATGTATAATAGAACATAATTTTTAGAAAAATTGAATCCCTATAATTAGTTTTATCTTCATGAGAATCATAACGGTGGTCCTTAAATTATGTTATTCTCATTCGCGCCTCCATTATTCACGTCTCACTCATTATTGCTTGTATTTAAAATTACCTTCTTACTGCCTTCCTCGTCGCTCGCTGAGATATAAAAAACAACATAATCTACCGGTACAACAGTCTTGAAGACCGCAGCGAGGATTTTCTGAGGGGCTGTAAGTGAGTATGAGTTAACAGTGCACGCTTTCGAACTTAGTTAGGCACGGAGAACCCAGGGGAGTGTTAATCCCCACCAGCTTTGATGAATTGATAGCCCTTGGGGGAAAATAGAAATAATATTCAATGGTAATAGTTATATTACAATAGCAGATTGAGAATGGTAAACAACGATTTGAATAATTACAGATAATTAGAAATTTTCTAAATTTTTAAATTAAATAATTCTAATTTTCTGCTGAGGAAATATTAAATAATATCCTATATTTGTAATCGTTCAATATCCACATTGCTATATTAAATAAAAATCATGAATATATATATATATATATATATATATATATATATATATATATATATATATATATATATATATATATATTCATGATTTTTATTTATTCAATATTTAAATTAAAAAATGTATGTTGGAGTTAACAATTTTGTGGAGGGGAGGACCTAACTCCCATTCTACTATTAAGGACCAGTCTTCTTTCGGCCGTTGGCCAGGATGCATTGTCTGTTCATTCCGGATCTCCGTCCAGTGAACATGCCCTTGTCTTCATCCAGCCATTGACCAAGATGCACCTAGTCTGTCTGTTCTGGAACGCTCTAGAGCAAACATGTTCACATTTGTCATAAGAGAATAGACCTAGATATACACACACACACATTTATATATATATATATATATATATGGGTGTGTGTATTTACATATATATTAAATGTAGGAAACTTACATTTATTTGTTTAGTAGACGGAGATTCACGAGTACCAAAATTATTTTTTCATTTCAAAATCAACATTCAGTCAAAACCAAAATTAAAAATAAAGAAAAAATATAAAATTAATGTACTAATATTTTTGATGTATATAACATTTAAATAGAATATAAATAAGATCATGGATGACACAAATGACAGAGAAAGGACATATCTTGAGTTCAGAATAAATCTGTAACTGATAGCTTCCAATTGGTCAGAATCCATAATGACCGCACTAAGTCAGCTATAGGAGCTTATGACTGCACCACCAAGCCACTAGTCAACTGGTGAAGGCTTGCCCCTACCTGGCTAAGTAGCGACCACCCAGGCGGGAAGGCATGTATCCTGACTACACCAGTGACCCAACTCACTACCGGGAAGGCATATATCCCGTCCTCACCAGTGATCCAACTCTTAAATGGGATGCCATGTATCCCGTCCGCAGTCAAAGGGTTAAAGCTCTTGTTTTACTTTATTACGTGGAATAAAGGTTCTAAATTTTTATGGAAACTCCAGGAATTAAAAAATTGTCTATGAAGTATCCATAGGTTAACACTATAAATGTTTTTCTATGATATCTTGCAAAATGTGCTTATAGCTCTCAGGGTCAAACTTTTTTAAATAAAATGGAAAAATTGAATAACTGCAGGGTCAGTAATATTAATGAATTTTGTACATTCTAAAAAAAGTTGGGAACTCACAGTAAATTTTGTGAAAGTCGGGAAATTCAACATTTCTTTACTATTTTTTTATATTAAGTAATATTTTACCTAACTTAAATGTACCAAGTCAAAAATATTTTTTGAAAATGTGAAACATTAAATAAACAAAGACTTGATGTTCTGATACCTACTTACAAAGATTGAACTGTTCACAAAGAGTTAAATACTCGGTCTTTATGATTAATGGATATTTTTAGTTATTATTTACTGTTATAGTAAATTTGAATTTGGTTTTTTAATAAAAATTTATCTAAAAATGTCAGCTTTGTATACTTATCTGCATCAGACTTATTATTTTAAACATAGGCAACACATTACACAATGGCGGTGGCAATCCTACTTATCCCAGCAGGTGGTTGTAGTGCCCTTATTCTCTTCTTATGATTATCACCTTCCTGATCCTGAACTCTTTGATTTTCATCATTGAATCTTATAACTTAATATGATATTATTGTTAATTTTTCCTGTAGTTTTTCTTTCTATGTACATCTTTGCCAATGTTGTGTTGATTTAATTTTTTTAGGAACAATTGGAAAATGGTGTGGTTTTGTTAGTGATAATGTAAAAGCAGTTACAATTGTTGCACTTGGAAAAATTTGTCTTCAAAATCATTTCATTGCCAAGAAATATGCCACTGTTTTTGCTCATGTTTTAAAAGAAGATTCTAAACCAGCTGTGAAAATCAATGCAATGGCAGCTCTCACTGATCTCTGTGTAAGGTAGGTTTTGTTTTCCGTGAGTAAATTATGCATTTGTATATCATTAAATTAATTAAATCTTAAGATATAATTTAATAGTTGTATTACTATATATTTGATGTTAATCAAAGACTTATTAATAAAATAAGTCTTAATAAATGATCACTTTTTTCAAAACTACAATATCCAATCATATTAACCTATAACCTCATAAAGGAGTTCCATCCCAATCCTTCTTTTCTGTTCTACTTTTTTCCTGACTCATATTGAGGAAATACATATCTTTAATTGGAATAAGGTCTTCCAATTTTTTTATAAGGTTAAACATATCGGTTTCGGTTTTCTACTCTCACTAAACAATTACAGCTTTTCTTTATCAACCACACTAGAATAACCATATCATCCATATAGTCTGAGAGCTAACAATTTTTTAATCACGTTCTTAGCAGCAGACGGTTAGACTAATGAGTAAGGAAGAACTTATCATTTAGCTGTAAGAGAGCACATTTATAATGTTTAAAAATTGACTAAAATTACATCATAAGTGGGATGCTTGTGAAATAGTTGCAAGAATTGTGAAAAAATAGTTGGACTGGTTAGCTAATTTTAAAATGTTTTGTAGAAAACACAAAATCAAGTTGTCCATCGACCAGGAATTTCCTGAAAACCAAGAATTGTAAGGGAATTTAGCATGCTCGGGCAGAAACTGGAAAATGTACAGGAATTTTTCTTAAATAGCATGGTTTATTTTAGTTGTGTCCTTTTTGTGAAACTTTAAACAAGGTGTTTCTATTCTATATTTATAAATATTACTGTTGGTCACAATTGCAAAAAAATAAAGTTAAAAAAAAGATAGAGCTACTGTAATTAATATATATTCTTAATAATAATATTTTTATTATTTCCTGAAACATCCTACAAATATAATAAATAAAATTCAATAAAAAGATATCCTGTATACAATTGTTTATTCTTTCTTGCTTTCGGTTTCGGTCCTTCATCTGGCTGATTAAAATATAAAAATTAGCAACAATAAAAAGTTTGTAGGTTTTAAAGTCTGCTATCGTTTATTGTCAATTATATGAAATCAATATCAATCTTAACTTAAATATCAATATCGATATCACGTAAATAATCTTTCTTGCTGATGAAATGGTTTTCACCATAATAAACTACTATCGACCCTTTAATATCATCCAAACTGCCCCAGTATTTGACCCCCTTTTAGCAGCTCCTTGAAATATTCTGTTTGTTAGTCTACTATATATTTGTTTAGCCATATAATGGATACTGATCCTAGTTTTCTTTTCTGAAATTTCAGCAATTCCTTTCTCGCTGGCTTAATGTATTTTCCAATTTTTGGGTTCAATTTCGCGTCTTCCTTTATTTTGATACTAAGAAAAACATTCAGACAGCTTCACTATTTCCATCTTTCATTCTGCAGAGAGAATAAAGCATTCAATATTAAAATTTCCTATTTTTTATATGGCCCTACCTCTGAACAAAGTAAAGGAAATAAAAAAATGAAATTGAATTTTTTATTAGTGACATATGGATTTTATTAAACGACCCGACAACTATTATATGATATATGTAGTTCAGATTAAGTTTATATTTTAGTTTACAAGACGGGTATTAATATGACTCGTTTCCAGGAAAGTATATACAATTTAACTTACCTCAGTCAGAATCAGTAACTATACAAAACCAAATGTTAAATAAAAAATCAAGATATTCAGCAAAGTATTTTTGAATTAAGTTTTATTATTATAATTATATAATTTTTACTATAGAGGCCTTCTTAAAATACTTCCATATAGAATAAAGGAAGTAATATTAAAAAAAAAAATTGAATATTTAATAGTTGACCGTTGCATTATAAAGGAAGGAGATGGTCCGGAGTTGCGGTCATAAATAGGCTAAATAGTGGTAAAACTATTTTATTGAAAGCCAACATTTCGACCCGACTTTGCAGGTCTTCATCAGGAAGGTGTGTTCATCTAGGAGTTTCACTTAGAACTGGAAGTAGAGTTTCATGGTGTATATTCAATAAAATGGTGTATATTCGGGAATGATGCATAATAATAAACATCTAATAATTGATTTTAAGTATGAGCATTATTTAGTTTATAAATCAATCATATGTGTTTTCAGTAAAATGTTTTACAATTTATTTTTTTAAATATGTATGAGTAAAATTTATGGAGATATAAATGAACTATTAGAATATAATATTTCATTTCATGATATAATAATTACGCCGTTATTTTGTTTTATATCTTTCTTAGATGGTAAAATTAAATGACACTATTGGTAATACTGCATTCAACTTATTTTAAAGCAATACGTTGGTTTATAAGCATAACACTTTTTAATTCTAATTGAATTTTCAAAATGTGTGATGCTAATAAAAGAAAATGAAAGTATGCTTTCAATTACACTTGTGAGAGATAATTTTGTTTTGTTAATTTTAAAGATATGTTCATTGTGTGGTCGTAGCATTGCAGTGCCGAAGAAATATAACGTTCAACATCACTTCCAGGGATATTCAAATTTTAATAATGAATATCCTCTTAAATCTGAATTAAGAATGAAGAAGATTAATCAACTTAAGTTAAACTTGTCTGGCTAACAGTCAGCTTTCAGTAGTTCTACTTTAAAATCTAAAAATGTTACTCTTGCTTCTTTCAAAATTTCTCATTTACCCACCAAGAAGAAAAAGCCTTTTCAAGATGGTGAATTAGTGAAAGAAGCATTCATAACTGGTGCTGATTGCTTGTTTCAAAGATTTTCTAACAAACAAGAGATTTTATCAGAAATCAAAGATATGCAGCTGTCCAATAATACTGTCACTCGAAGAATTCATGCGCTCTCAAGACTTGCTAACGCAGTTAAGAAATAACTTGGAAATATGTGACTGGTTTTCATTGCAATTTGACGAGTCTGCAGACTTATCAGATACAGCATAGTTAGCATTAATGAATTGAATGGTTTTTAATAACTACTATGAAAGAAGAATACTCAAAATGTTGCCACTAAAAGGAAGAACAACTGCTGCAGAAATTTATAAAATATTCATATGCCTCTTCACAAGTTGTCGGCTATTATTACTGATGGAGCTCCATCAATGGTTGGTAGTGTAAATAGTGTTATCGCTTTTTGCAAAAAGGATAATTCATTTCCTAAATTTATAAACTACCACTGTGTAAATAACCTGAACTGACAGACTTTCGTTGGTTGGTAGATTTAGTTTTTATTACAGACGTTATTGAGAAATTGAATGCTTTAAACTTAATGTTACATGGGGAAAATAAACACATAGCTACTGTAACAGGATCCGTAAACTTTTGTGAGTGAAATTGAATTTATAGATATTACATCTACAAAAGAAGTCAGTTGGGTTTACTTACTTGAAGTCAGTTTACTTTCCAAAAAAGAAAGATTGCAGATGCTGAAATTGACTACATTGTTTGTTGCAAGCCTTCAATCCCTCCGAGAACAGTTCGATATTATCCAGCCAATAACAACCTTTTTAGTAAACCCCTTCATTTACAGAGAATATGACCGAAATAACTTCATTAATTGATGTAAGAATAGAAGAATTAGAGCTCGAAATAACAGATCTTCAGAACAACATTTTTCTAAAATTCAATGTGGCCAATGAAAATTTTTGGAATACAGTTGACAAAAATAAATTTCTGTAAAAGCTTTATAGAAAATACAATCATGTTTCGGTTCCACTAGTGTGAATTATTATTTTCGACTATGAACCTATTAGTATAGAGCTTAACTAGCCCACATCTTACGTTTTAACAATAACTTATTCAAAAGGTGTGGAATGTGACCCTTTTCTATATGTTCATTGCCCACCAAATTTCACAGCCATTATTATTTTAACAATTACTTGAATTATTTGACAGTTATTTAATAATATCACAAGGTGTGGAATTGGGCATATTAACAAAAAATAAATAAATGGAACATGACAAATAAGCATAAAATTTAAAAGTCAACATTTTCGACCTCTATAAAAAAATATAATATAATTGATACATATGTGTCCACTGAAAGTTTTACTAAGTTAAGTGTTATACATATTATATTTTCATTCTAAAAAGTAATAAAAATAATTTACACTGTTGACCTACATGTTTTTGTTTTTATTTGGATATTATGTACTTCGGTATACAAACTAAAGATTTTTCGGCTGCTGTTTGTTTTAATCAAGGTTTACTACTGTAATGGTTCGATTTGTCTTACTAGTTTTTCCACCTATATTTTAGCTGTAATTTACTAATTATTGTACTTACATTGTCCATAATTTTTATAATTATCTCTACCATTTTAAACAAAAAATAATTATATTAGTTCTTTCAGCTCTAATGTAATTTATGTATTTTGTACATTATTTCTTTATTTTTATGTGTTGTATTTTGCAATAAATTATATATTTTTTTAAGGTTCACATCTGTCGTTGAAGACAACTTGGGAGATATGTGTGTTATGTTAAAAGATAAAGATGTTCAGGTCAGAACGCATTCTCTCAAGCTAATTTTGCAGTTAATACAGGTTAGTACATTTATGTATATGAGTTGTAATTTATTAACAGTGTTCCTCTGTTTTCGTATTTATTCAGTATGAATTCCAGTTCTTGGTAAGTAGAAATATATTGAGAATGGATTTCAACTTTTTGCAGAAGTCAGAAAAGACATTCGTTTTAAACTTTAATATCTTGCTACAATTTTCATTGATGGTGGGATTCTTAATTTTAACAGTTAACAGAATGAGAGGATTTAGAGTCCTGAAGGTAGTTTAGCTGAACAGAAACGGATAAATATGTAATGCTTAGCCCATTCAGTGAAGTTATGTTACAGAATGTTGTTATTAATATAAACAATTGACAAATTGAGAGCTCTAATTTAAAAGACTTAATACAGCCAAAAAAAAAAAAAAAAAAAAAAAAATGAGCAGACACATATAAATCACTGACTATAATATAAATGTTCGCAGGGCCAAATAGGAAGTGTGGAGAAGCTTATGTAGTGATATTAATGACACTTAATCCACATCTAGATTAAATATGATTCTATCTAAGTAATTGGACTGGTCGGTCAGGGTGGGGGGGGGGGCCTTTACCTCTTCTGAAATACAGACTAAGGGTTCTGGTACTTTAGTTTTTAGAGACCTCTGGAATAATGCTCTGAATAAGAGCGACACAAATTTAGGCCTTCTTGGCTGCAGTGCATTTTCCACTAAGAAAAAAAAAAATAAATAAAGGGATCTGATGTGTGCGCACTTCCTGACTGCCAACTGTTAGATGAGAATTTAACTAGTCCCGCTACTGACAGTCACACTAGTGGCAGAGATAAGTGAGTAGAAGCTAATTTAATAGTTAATTCTATGAGGGTTGATTGGGCAATGAATTCATTTGCACCATTTAAATCAGCAAGTATTGACAGAATCTTCCTGTCCTTTTTACAAAAAGGCTTAGCTGTTATAAAATCCTATTTACTCAAGTTATTTAGGGGAAGCCTTGCACTGTTCCTTTAATCTAAACAGCTGGAGGGTGGTAAAAGTTTGTTATATACCTAGATCTGGGAAAGAGTCTTATGACTACCATCCCAAGGTTTATAGAACTACATGTCTGACCTCATTCTTGTTAAAAGTCTTAGAAAAAATTTTGGACAGATATATTGGATACTCCACATTTACAGAAAGACTGCTACATTAGGCTCAATTTACTTATCAGGTAGGTAAATCCTGTGAGACAATATCGCATCACTTGTTCTCCAGAACTGAGAAAAGCTTGGCTCAGAAAGAGATCATGGCGGGTATCTTCATTGATAATGAAGGTGCCTTTGATCTTACTCCTTATGACACTTTGGTGAATATCGTGGAACGGAAAGGAGTTGAATTCCTGGCTTCCAGATGGATCAATTAAATTCTGAAGTAGAGAGATCTTAAATCCGGGTTAGGATAAACTGAACTGTGGATTAAGGACTGATATGGTCTTGGAGAAATTTATGCCAAGAAATAATTCCTTTGTAGGATAAAGAAAATACTTTATGAACAGAAAGACCAAGGGGTACACTCAAGGTCATGGCAAACATACCACTAATGAACTTGAAACACTGAGAGAACTGGCAATAGCACACTTTCCTGGTTTTAACACAATGGAAAATGCTTGTATTGGCACCACATTCCCTAGCTATACAGCTAATTCTAACAATAAGAAATATTGGTAAACAGACGGAATGGTCAGTAAACTCATTGTTTCCTTATAAATTGTTTTCTTTCAGTATTGATTCATAAAGAACTTTCAATAATTAAACCCTATCTCATAGAGTTATTAAGGGGCTGCTTAGTGTTTGGTTACCTTCCTACAGATTGGAGAGGATCCTAACTGCCTTTTATACCAAAATCTGGAAAGGGAAAGTATAATGACCCTAAGTCTTTCAGGCCAATATGTATGTCGTCTTTCCTAATGAAGACATTGGAAAAGATTCTGGACAAACATATAAGAGAACAATTATTGAATTAAAATTCTTTACATTCCAATCAATTCGCCTACCAATCTGGGAAATAATGTGCTGCGGCTAACATGAATACTTTTTTTTTTGTGACCATATCATATACTGTGGGTTAATTTATTTTGTTTAAGAATATACATAGATTATTTAATTTTTGTTTCCATATTATTATATAATAAATCTGTTTATTAGTATGTAATTATATATAATCAAATATTTTGTACATTCCGATACATCCCAGCGATGATTTCGCCCACTTTCGGGTGAGTTCGTCTCTAGCTGTATCATGTGATATCACGACGCAGAAGGAAGACAGTATGGCGCTGGATAGAGTATTACCTTCATGAGGTCCTTCGTCCCGTCAACATTTCTACTGTAAATCCCAAGGTTTCATCTCTCCTGGTTGTGACAGTGACTTTCCACATTTGGGACATTACTCTCCTCCAAGAGGACATACGTCAGGCAACCACAGCGACGCTATGAGACATAATAAGGTTGATCGGCTTGAGGTGATCTTGTTTATTTTAATTAAGAACATTCCTAAGGTGAGTGGCACTCCCTTAAAAGACATTTCTGACCCCATGTGTCTCCAGTTTTAATAAGTGGAAATAAAAACATTATTTTTGTAACTATGACACCTCACATTGAGGCTGAACTTTAACTTGGACACCAAATCATGCTTCATTATCTAAGTGTCTCTGTAGTCGAGTGGCTAGCATGTGAACTTGATATGGTGAAGGTTCCAGGTTTAAGACCGGTTGCGCCATGTTTCTTTTTATTAAATAATTTTTTGTAATACATTTTAATAACTCTAAATTAAATTAGGGAAGACATGGAACCTTTAACCATGAATGGTTTACTGGCTGTGTGTCACAGTAGTTAGACCTGTGCTCTTATATTCAACTGTTATGTTCAACTGTATGGTGGCATAGGGCAAGAGTGACCCACAACCAGATACAACTGGAAAAACTACAAAGATTAGCCTGTCTAATGATAAAAGGTGCACCACTCCGACCACAGCTAAACCTCTCCGACTGCAGCTATGGAAGTATTGTTAGGTCTGTTACCTTTGCAGTTGGTGATAAAAAAAGCAGGCCTTGAAAACTTTCTGTAGGCTACAAAAACTAAACCTATGCTCCAAGATAAATACCCATGAGGGACATTAGAAAATATTATAACAAATTGAGGAAGACAGGGTGCTTGAATTGCACTGATACTCAGATCATAGAATTTCTTATAAAGAATTCATTAGGGCTAAGGTTAACATAGACAGTTCAGGGAAACATAAACCTATTAATAGGATTAATTGTTATACTGATGGGGCACTAATGACATGCTGATCTGGCGCTGGTTTCTGGAGAAAGAATGGACATGAACCAGAGGAAGGTTTGGCAAATCTGCAACGGTATTCCCATCTGAATTACTGGTGATAATTCACTGTGCTTCAAATTTATTACTTGATGGGCTGGTGAGGAAGAAAGTTTCCATCTACACAGACAGTCAAGCGGCAATACGAGTGCTGGACAATTATACAACTAGATCTAAGGCTGTTAAGGATTGTGTGAGGATTCTTAATGACCTATCTAGATTCAATAAGGTAAACATTGAATGGGTGCCATGTCCCTCTGTAATACATGAAAATGAGATGGCGGATAAATTAGCCATATTAGGCTCACAGACTCTCATATTTTCCGACCCATCTGTGGAATAAGTCTGTTTTTAATAAATAGTAGAATTGGGGAGATCTATGGTATTGAAGCCAAAAAATTCTGGTGCTGGAAAAAACAGACTCTCTCTCTATATTGTTCCTGAATAGAATCTGCCCAAAGAGAAGCAACCTACTAGTTAACTTGAGCAGGAGCTCAATTAAGAAAATAACAGTGCTATATACTGGACACTGCAAACTGAATTATCATATGTTCGACCTCCGGCTAACGGAGTCATCTCTTTATAGGTTCTATGGTCAGGAGAATGAAACAGCTTATCATATCACTTGTTGGTGCAACAGGTTCGCTGAACTTAGATTCTGTTTATTCGGCATTGACAGAGTGATTGCCCCATGACAAATGAGCTTATCAACCCAACAAGCCTACTTCAGTTTATCGAGACTGCAGGAATTACGCTCTAATAAGAGTGAATTTAATAGAGGCAAACAATAGACCTTCATGGCCGCAGTGCATTTTTACCAAAGGTCATAAAAAAAAAGCCTGTTAAGGGTTGTCCACAGGGTGTTGTACTGTCTCTACTTCTATGGCATTCGTTAGTAGACTACTAATTAAATTAAATGATGCATGATTGTATACTCAAGGATATGAAGGCGCAGAATAGGCCTCAGTGAGGCCAAAGTCTATCATTGTCGTGAAAAAAAAAATATTAACAATATATAAATAATATGTTTTATGTTTTATTCTTAGCTTTATGTTAATTTATTAAATCACTTACAGGAGGACTATTTAAAACCAAAAGGAGCTCTTTTCTTCTATTTGCTTATCATGCTGAGGGATCCTGTTATTTCAGTTAGAGAGATAATCCAAGCCTTTTTTACTAATATGTTGTTAAAAAGAAATGGGAGTATTATGTGCCATTATTTCATTCAGGCTATATTTTTCTTCAATGATTATTTGGTTAGTTCAATCATTTTTTTATTAATTAATTAAATACTTTTTCTTGTACTCTTATGTTTCTTTTTTTATGTTTAGGGAAGTGGCAGTTTTAATAAACGAAGACTTTCTGCTAAAGAGAGAATGGTTTTTGCTTTGGCTGGTGCTTCAAATTTTTATGACCGAGGCCAAATTTACAAATACATGCTGTCTAACATGCGGGATGACCATAGATTTAAGTTATCTAATCGAATTTGTTCAGATATTTTGGGTATTATAATTTTAAACATTCAAAATATATATATATAAAATTTATTTTTTTATGGTGGCTTTACTAACCTTATAAATCTTTATCAGTCTGAACCAGCCCTTTTTTTTTTTTTTCTGTACCAATGGAAGCGAGATGAAAGCTCTGATTGTGTTTGTTATATGCTGGTCTATCTCAGATAGTTGGTTTATTGAGGTTATTGTGAAGTCAAGGTAGTAGGAACAATTTAGATTACTCTCAGGAACAATTTTCTATTTTCGTAGATCCTGTTGGGATGGATTTTTTATGTTATTGTCATATATTTTGTTTTATTTCCATTTACTTTCAGACAGATTCATTCTATTTTTAACAAAATTGTAGTGTTTCTCAATGTTCTCTTGATTGCTTCTGAGGAAAGCTAAATCTGCATATCATATTTTAGGATTTTATTATTCACTCTGACATGCACATACCTGTTTTGCATGATGTTCTTATCACCTTCTCTAGGGCTAAGTTAAACAGCATCAGTGTGAGTTCATTTTTCAGCTTTAAACCTGTCTGAACTTCTAAGGCTTCAGATATTTGTCCCTATATAAGGATTCTGTATTTAGGATCATCAGCCTTATCAATACACGTCACACTTTCATCAATCTCACCAATGTTTTGGAAACTCAGCTCATTCATTATATTTCAAAGACAGTTTCTATCCATAGAATTATAGGCTGCTTTGAATTTGGCATATAATTCGTGCACATCTTGAGTTTCTTCCTATCATTTTTCAGGCATCTGTTTTAAGATGAAGTCTGGCCAAGTCTCCTATATATTTATAATGATAAAAATAATGATTTTTTAAATATAAAATCATTTGTCTTCTAACATTTTCTTATGTTATGCCAAACACATCTTCCAAATTGGTGACACTTTCATCAACTCAACTCAAGCTCCCTGGGAGATACTCTCTCTTGTAATTCCAAACAACTAGTCTCACTGCCATAGCTTTTTGCCGTCTCCTGAACATTAATCTCTAGCCTGAGTTCTCTTGCAGCTCCCAGAACTCTTCCAGTGCACCTGAAAGAGCTTGAAGTGTTTTTGCTGAGATTAAAACATCATCCGTAAAGCCAGGTGTTGTGTCAGGGGGTTAAAGATTGCACCACCCGGATTTTTTCTTATTTTATGAATTGTGGACTATTAAGATTGAAGAGCAAAACTGACAGTGGGTCACCTCGGTGTAATCCTTCCCCTACCTTAAAACCTTGAGAGTATCTCCGTCTAATCTTGACCTTACAGGATATGTTCTTTAGAGTCATGCGGAGAAGCTTAATGAGTTTTCTGGGGATCCCTAAAGAATGTTACAGGCATTTGTACCTATTCTTCCTGTCAACATTACCGTAGGCCTGTTTGAAATCGATGAATACATGGTGGAGAGTTATATTACACTCATTTGATTTCTCCAGAATTTGCCTTACTGAGAATATATGATTAGTGGTAGACCGACCTGGTCTAAAACCACATTGGTATTCTCCTAATACTTTCTCAGCTCATTTTACTAATCTGCTGATTGCTATAGAGAGCACTTTGTATACTGTTCCAAGGAGAGATATTCCACAATAATTTCTATGTTCTGTTCAGCTCCCTTTTCTTATATCGTACATACTAGTGCTTCAGATTATTCTCCTGGCATCTTTTTGGAAGTCCAAACATCAAAAATATTCTGTTATACATCCACCCAGATGTCCTCTGCTACATACTTAAGCATTTCGGCATGTATACCATCCCCTCCTAATGCCTTATTATTTTGAAGGTCCAAGATAATCTTGATGATCCCTATTTCAGGTGGAATATCTTTTTCTACCAATTCCTCCTCTAAATCATTCCTTCAGCCTATTGAGATGTGGGCCTTTTCTTTCACTCCTAATACTCCCTCAAAGTACTTCTGCCACCTACCTAGAACCTCCTCTTTATCATTAAGTAGGTATTAATCATTCTAGGTTATCCTGCTCATCCCTTACCGGTTCGGATCTTGGAGTAAATTTATTCTGGAACTCTTTTACATCTTAATAGAATTTTCTTGTTTCTTTGGCCTTGTCTTCCAGTTTTCCAAATTTGAGGTTTGTTTGAGCTTAAAACATGGTAATTTCCTTTCATCTGTCATACTCCCTCTCACTTTTCAAGGTACTGAAGCAGAAGATTGTTGTTTACAGTCTTCTTTCCATTCTGGGAGGCCTATGTTTTAGTTTTAGGTTTAATTTAGGTTCGGATATACAAAAGCTTGAGAAGCAATGGTTATTACTAAATACATATTTTGATAAAGAGCTGTACTTTGTATTAATGGGAAGAAGCAATTAGTTAATACCTGAATAATAAAAAAGTAAATTTTTAAGAAGTTCTTAAATACTTTTTTACCCCATGTCCACAAATTCATTTTACTAAATTGCTGGATTTCTGTTATAAAAATTATATAATTTATTTTGCATGTATGAAATGAACTGATGACGTGAAGTGAATGTTTAAAGATATTTTAATGTGCTAGATTAACTGGTACTCCGCCCAAAACAAAATATACTAAAATTCTTCCTTAAATAATATCCTAAATATCATCCTAACTGTAATAATCCATAAGGTAAAATTACAACCATCAAAACCTTCCCGAAATACTCTAGAACTCTGTGGCTGCATATTTATACTTATGGCTATTTTATCCAAATGAAGATTATAGGTCATGATAATCAAACATACTCTTTGATATGCATTTATGTTTTTTGTGGATTTTTTTTTTTAAATTGGTTTATTTTAAAATTAAGAAGTAGCATCTATTAATATAAATAAGGAAAAAACAAATCTTATTTTTTAGACGCAGTTACCAAAAGAAAAATACCTCTTGACAGAATGGGAGTTTCTATTTTAAAGGATGCTTTATTTGCATTAGCATGTGATGAAATGCGTCTAGAAAATTTAAGAAAAGTAGATGATGATGCTTCTGTTAAAGAAAGCGATGAAATTGGTGACATTGGTGGAGGTGAAGCTGTATTGGGCATAGCTAAGAAGGTCTTTATATCCCAGGTAAGAAAGATTTGCCAAAATGTATTTTATTTTTTTTTACCAACCCATATCTTGCCATTGACTGACATTGGGGGGGGGGGAGAGGGGGTTGTTCTAGAGCTGCAACTAAACCTATTCTAACCAGAGTGTGAAGGTCAAGATTCATTCCAGAGATCCGCTACGAAATAAATTTCTAAATCGATTAAAGTTCTAAATAATTTATACAAAAATAAAAGAAGCTTAAAATTAAAATAATAATATTTCTGATGAGTAAAAATTGATACAAAAAACAACAAGAGAAGCTACATTTATAAAAAAATAAAGAAAGCTGGAAATGAAAAAAATATAATAAATATATTTCTAGCAAGAGAAAGTAAATTAATTGCAAGGTGAAGGTAACTTATATACAAAGTTCAGCTGAAAACGTCCAGATCACTTGGTTTTTCTATAATTACTACTGGACCTCCATCTAATTGTCTGCAACGAATTTTACCCCCACTGAACCAGACGTATCTTATTTTTGCCGTCACCCTCTTCTGCCTGGCCAACCAATAAAGGTGTTTATTGGTGGGCGTCATAGCTTCACTCACGTAGTGCGGTGCGAGTCGCTCTCTCCCCAGCCTAGATGGTGCGTAGAGAAATCTCTCTTCGCTCTTCGTTGCCGCACCAGCTCATCTCTCACTGCTTGTCTGACAAATCTGACTATAATTGGGCCTGGAGTCCCTTCTTGCTTGGGTCTTAGTCTCACGGCGTGATCTAGATCGTCCGGACTCAACTTGACGCCCAGACCCGCTCCGACGCTAAGAATTGCGCCAGTTACGGTTTCGCCGGCCTTCTCCGGAATTCCTCTAATTTCAATTGTATTTCGTAATATAGTGTATAAATTAAAAGTTAATAGATTGTGATAAAAGATAAGCAATCAGTGGACAACAAACTGGTAAAGGTTACATTTGATAACTAGGTTAACAGATAATGAAAATGAGAGTTGACGAATAAATAAATTGAAAAATGAATAAGTAATGATCTAGTAAAGGTAAAATAAGAATAAGATAACTTAATAATAAGATTTCAGAGGACAACAAGTTTGTGGAGGCTATACTTAATAAATGTAAGTAAACAGATAACGAGACTAAATGTCAACAATTCTATAAGACAAAAAAAAATAGAAGAGAAATTTAGAATGTAAGTAGAAATGTAAACAAGGTTATGATAATGAATAAAGTACAGTATATATAAATGACAATTGAAATTCAGTTTTTTGAAAGCGGTAATGGAATAGTAGGCTATATGAAGAGTGTAATATGGTTTATAGTTGAAGGATAGGTGTGTTAAGAATGAATCATAATACAAGTCAAACATACTATGGTATAGAGCACTGCAGGTAGCAGTTGATAGATTGGCAGTCAAAACAGGTCTAGTACTCACACACAGTAAAAAAATAACACCTATTTCCTAAGAAAAAGTAAATATGTCTAAGAGACGAGGTGACGGTAGTACATTGTAATCTAGCGCATGCGTAGAACTGTTACCTCGCACCCGAATTATCAAACATTGTTTTAAATGATTTCTTAAACATCATAGCTCCTCAGTTTCCAAATGACATATTTCTTATCAATAAATATGTCGATGATCTTGTTATTCTCAATCCTGACCTCCTTTCCGCCTTTAACTCTTATCATCCCCGCCTCTGTTTATACAGTCGAATATAAAAATAACAATTCCCTCCCTTTCCTTGACCTTCTCATTAAAAGACACCCCAACAATACTTTATCCTCAGACTGGTACACAAAACCAACATACTCTGGCAGATTACTTAACTACTATTCTCAATACCCCTTTCACCAAAAACTCAACATAGCCAAAAACCTTATTCACTGATGTTTTCCCCCATCTGATCCTTGCCTACATGAAACGCACATAAGACTCATACAACAGATACTACTTTCTAATAACTTCCGGTTTTTTTTGTCTAGTGGGCACTGACTGCTTTCTGCCAATGTTTATAACCTGAACACTGATAATTCCCATAACACATTTATAAGCCTTCGCCTACTTCATATCTTAGTATTATTGTATTAAATTTGTATTATTGAAAGTGTAAACAGATACAAAAACAAATGTAATAACAAATAAAATATTTTATTTTACGACACATATATTAATGAAGTAATAAAAAAACACTTTAAGAAGATATGTACATATAAAACATCAAAATGAAATAATAAAAAAACACTTGAAGAACATATGTAGATATAGAAGATGAAAATGAAATAATAAAAAAACATTTAGAGTACATATTTACATAGAAAAGAAAAAATATCAACACTATAAACAACATATGTACAATTTATTTTCACTTTGTCTTATTTATTTTGGACGGCAAAATTGTTTTATGCTATTTAAAATAGTGAGGAACTCTCTTTTCTCTAGGTCCTCTTTTCTGTGAACCAGCTGCCACAAAAATTCACATCGTTCATCGTTGTTAAGTTATGGGACCACCCATAAATCAATTTTAAAGCTGTTAAAAACGAAATCCTCGAGCCCTCCAACCATGTTCCTTTCCTTATTGAAAGTTTTGTGTCACAAGTCTTACGACAGCATCTCCATTTGGCGTTCCGGGTTAACTTCATTCGATGACCTTGTTCACAAAATTTCACATCTGCAAGTATCCCAACATTTTGAAAATATTGAATTGCCTGTTCTTCTGAAGACGGCAAATCCCATATTCTAAGAGAAGATCCATAATATGACGAAAATAAACAGAAAAAAATGACAAAAAAACACAAAGGGGCCACAAACTAAAAAGAAATGAAAAATAAACACAAACGGGCCAAAAACTAAAAATAATGAAAAATAAACACAAACGGGCCAAAAGTAAAGAATTTAATAAGTGAATGTAATAAGGGAATAACTGAAAACTAAACAATGCAATAACTCAAATTTTTGGTGGAATAAGAAGAGGGAGGTTATGTGACGTGAGGTTAGATAAGAAGTGAGGTTTCGTGCCGGCCCGCCAGACAAAAAGTACCTAACTTCCTCTCCAACATCATCCATCCCCTTCTCTATTCTCAAAATTTGTCCTCTTCTCTATTCTTGCTGGGAAATTTAACTTTAGCAACACAACCGTCAATGATCATCTCAAGGCTATTGGCAAGGTAAAAAAGCTTGATTGTAAGTTGAATTCCACACACATTAAACTACCTCCAAAAAAACCAGCGTTATAAAGCTTGTGCTACACTTCTTTGCCAAAACAAAAACAACCCTTTTCTGTCCAGAATTGTTACTTGTGGTGAAAAGTGGATACTTAACGATTACAGTAGACCTTCTGGACAGTGGCTCGACAAAGGAGAAGCAGCAGAACATTTTCCAAAGCACTCGACTCATCAAAAAAAGGTGATGGCTACTGTTTAGTGGGCTTTATTTGGTTTGATGCACTACAGCTTCTTAACTCCTGGAGAAACCATCAATGCCGAATCATATTTTAACCAAATTAATGCAATGCATCAGAAATTGGCAATAATGAAACCAATCCATGTTTGGTCAGTTGGAAGGAGCCCATTTTGTTGCATGACAACACTCTGCTGTTTCATCTGCCATATTCTCCGCACCACTCGCCTACGGGTTATCATTTTTTTAGACACCTGTACCACTACTCAGGTGACAAAAATTTTAAAGGATAAAGGGAATTAGAAAATGCGTTTTTGGAGCTTATCAATTCTAAAGATGGGAAATTCTATTTCGAGGGGATGGAAAAGTTTTCAACACCTTCGCAGAAATGTATTGATAGTAGTGGATACTATTTTGATTAAATAAAACAGTTGTAAATCTTATATTTTCCGGACAACCCAATATATCAGCAAGAAAATAACAAGATATGAAAGAAACATTTTATCTGCTAATAAATAAATACTAAGTGAAGAAAAAAATTATGTTGTGCAGTATAAATTAAAATATATAAGTAATGTATATAATCACTAGACATAAAAATATTTGTGAATTTTGCCTTTTTAATGTTAATCCACATTAACGATTATTTTGCAAATACTAATATATAATTATTTACTAAAAATTATCATCACTGCACTATTCTAATGTGTATTTATATTTTTATACAATACCGTTACTAAAGGATCACTTATTCATTTCCCATTATCCATTACTTATCATATTTACTTATACTTGTTCTGATATTTTCATTTAATTTCAATCCATGTTTACGATTATTTTACAAATATTTATACAGGGTTCGGTTGTTATCATGTCTTTACTCTGCACTCATGAAGGCCTGAAATTCAAGCCGAAATGTTGGCATAAAATAAATTTATTGATTATAACCAGAGTGAACGAATGACTTAAAATTAAACATTAACTATGCTTCTCTTAGTGGAATTCCAAGAACTGGAGGCCAGGCGGATGGAGATGTTGACCCCTCTGCCACAAAGGTGGTGAGAGTCAGAAACCCCAGCTCATGTACTGGACAAATGTCCGAATAACATGCTGCTTATCACCTGCTGGCACAATAATGCAAAGCATCAAATTAACGTATTCCTTGAGACGAAAAAGTATAGATACTTTCTTGAAGTATATTGCATAGATATGGAAGGCTTATCACGATTATAGATATCTAAGCCTTTAGTGCGAAAGAAAAAGATGCTCTGAAAGTCGATCCTACAATTCTATTTGAAACAAATGATAAGAATCAACATCTTAAAATACAAGAAAGAAAGGAGATCTATAAAAAATGCATTCTGTACCTGCAAGAGAAATATAGAGAGGAATTTGGTGAAAGAAAATACTCGGTTCGAGGACTGTAGTTCGGGAGCAGAGGAGCGATTCTGCTTTCAACTGCTGAGTTTTTGGAGAAGCTGGGTGAGAAAAGGAGCCATCTGCAGTGTATGGTGGAATCTATTGTTTTTGACTCTTTAGGAATCCTGCACCATCACTTTTATTAATTCTGGCCACTTGGTTGGTAGTCCCGCAAAACTCAATCATTTTTGTTTTATCTTTGAATAATATCAATTATTACTGATCAGTATGCTGGGTGTTTTAGCAACTCGACATAGTTGAGCAGCTGTACAGTTTTACTTTACTTCTCCCTCTTTCTTCTCTGTAACTGCAACATCCACACCCAACATCCAATGTCCAACTTCAACTTCTTAAATATATAGATTATTTAGTCAGTAGAAAAAAAAGGAATCAAAAATACCCAGAGTGAGGTAAAAATGACTAAAGTCATCCAATTTGATATAAGATGGTACTAAAACAATAACTGAAGCTTAGCATTGTTTTGCTTAGATATTATTTTTAGGAAAAAAAAACCAATTTAAAATTTATCTTAAACAAAAACAATTGTGATTTCATTATGTTAAACTGTTTGTGGAGGGCATAATTCGTAGGGATTGGTTTGTTTTTCTAAAGGTCTTCAAGGATCCTTACGAATGTCCTGCTTATCAAGTGGTTAACAAATATTTCATTCATCTAGCCCTTTTCTCCCTATAAAAAATAAATAGAATTCATGTTTTTTGTATCTAGAATTTTTCTATATTTTTTTAGTTTATTCAGTTTTAAAAACCGGGTTTTCACATTTATTATTAGAATGAAATTCTAGTTAGGAGATAGTTAATAATAATTGATGAAAAGTAAAATCATATTTTCTTTTGTTGTCCCGAAGTTAAAACTATTATTAAAAGTGAAAGTACTTTTGGTATAACTTCCATTATCAAAGGCTTAATATGAAACTGGAACAGGGATTGTTGATTGTGATTTCTATCCATAAGCCATATTGACTCCTGGACTAAGTCTCAAGAGGCAAAATCAGCTCATAGCTACATAGTAACCAACATATATCCCGGCCGCACCTGTTATCCAACTCCTAATAGGAAATCCAAATCCAACTTCCTTTTATTTTTGTCAAAAAAAAAAACATTGATAAAATAACTAAATACAAATTACATGAAAAAAACTTATGATTATTGTCCTAAGAGAAATTTTCTGTTGAATTATTTTGAATAAGACCTAATGTTGGTTTGTGCTAATTCATTTATTTACTTATTTATTGATAATATTTCAGATTGTAAAAGCCAATTATGTAGAATCCATTGTGCCCACAATCACGAAATTGAAACGAATGCTTGCAGCATTAAAATCGCCATTAGTTAGAGACCTAATGATCTGTCTTCGAGAGCTTATGAAAGACTTTAAGAATGAGGTATGTATATTATTAGTTACTGTATTAATTTATTGTTTTCCTTTTGCTGAATATAATGTTTGTAATAATTATTGTTCTGTTTCTTAGATAAATGACATATTTCATGCTGATCCTGAATTAGCAGCTGAAATAGCATTAGATTTGAAAGATGTAACTGAGGAAGAAGATCAATTGAGTGATCCATTCGCAGAATTTAATGTTAAGGAAGTACGTGCACGGTGTGAACAGTTGTCTGAAATGGCCTTATGTGAAAAAATGGGCATTGTTACACCATTGAAAAAGATGCAATCTCAATCCTTATCTTTCTTAAGGCCATCATCTTCTGGGTTAGTTACTCAAATTCAGCTCCCTTCTTCTATGGGGTGTAATTTACCTGTTCGTCTTACCCCTCCACGAGGTGTTGATAGAAATTCATTTGATCAATATTCAGGGTCTTGTAGCCCTTCTTCTTCAATATCATCTCGGAATTCATCAGAGGATTCATCTGAAATTCCTTTAAGTGATTCACATTCCATAAGTCCTTCATTCAGCATGTGTAGTCAAGAAAGGAACTGTTTGGATGATGAGGACGATTCTCCAATTCTTGGGAATTCAACTCAAGGGAAGAAGAGAACTAGTTCTGAATTTTCATCCCCAGGAGGATCTGCAATAGGTTCAGGGCCTATAAAACCAAAAAAGAAGGTGAACCGTAGGAAGAAGAAATAAATTAGCTGATGTAATTTCTGATTTATTGATATTATTTATTTATTTGTATATAACTTTACCTATATACATATGTACACTCAAATATATATACATATAAATAAATAATGTATTCTTGTATTATTATTTTATATTGTTTCTTAAGTTTATTTCTTGAATTTCTGTGATGTTTTAACATTTTTATCTCTTGTTATAGAAAAATTATTTAGACCTAGTATTTTAAAGTCACAATTGTTAAGATGATAGTATGTATCCAATGATCCAGTTACATGGTTGTACCCCTTACCTCAAGAAATTTTAAGAGTTAAGCTGTAAACTTTGTTCAGCATTAATTAAGTGTTAAATTATTTATGTGTTTAAAATTAATGTATTTAGTAGTTTTATAGTTATCAACTATTGACAAATATTATTACGAGAGTTTATTCTGAGACTGTGAATTATTATATTTTATAGAAAGCTTTTTTTTTTTCAGCTTTATGTTCTATTCTTTTTTATATGTTCTATATTCATGAAAATAAAAACAAGGTGATGTAATCTCTTATAATACCCACTGTTGTTATGTTTGAAAAAACTAATAAAAGCACTTAAGCTTTCAGTGGTTTCTCATATTTTTATTTATTTCCCATTGGTTATTTTAACAAATAACATTTTAATAAGAGTAAGAATTAATTTGATAGTATCTGGTTTAATCTAAAATTCCACTTGTTTTAGGGAATTTTCTTTTCAAAGATGTCTGCAAAACCAGAAAACTATTGTGGTGAATAATGAGCAATTTATAACTGTGAATTCCAGTTTTATTCATTGCCATTACGTTAATTTAGGAGTTCATAAAAGTGCTACATAAGTTTATAAAATATTAGTCCAAATGTACACAGTTTTTATATCATGTATTTTTTATTCGATGTTTCGGCTTCAGGAGCCATTTTCTAGATCCTGCAAACTAATTTTAATTCAGTTGTTATACTTCAAAATACATCCTTATAAAACACATTAATTCAACAACAATTAGTTATATAAATAGTCCAAATTCTATTTTATAAAAAAAGTTTTTACAACATAGCATTGGTTAAAATTTATTATCTACCTACCATGGAGGATCTTGAAAATGGCTCCTGAAGCTGAAACGTTGAATAAATAATACATGATGTAAAAACTGTGTACATTTGGTGACCTTTAGCCTAATATTTTATAAAAAAAAACTTTAAAAAATGGCACCGAACCTAAAAGATATGACTAATGCTACATGGAGTGGGAAATAAGGCGATAAGTGATTCATTTCTTGATCTATATCACAGAATTAACCGTCTGATAAGCAGAAAAATGCTTGACAATTTCGAACATTAAACATGGTACATCTTTTCTAAACCCAGATGCTAACAGGAAGCATATGGCTGTGGCGTATTTTGAAAATGTGAAAATAGTGCAAAAAATAACTTGATCCACAGAAGATAAGAAAATTATTTTAATGATTTCGAACCAGTTACTAGGTAACTGATTTAATGAGATGTGAAATTTTGTAAGCTTTCACGAAGCTGGTGTTCAATGTTCAAAATGTTAGGTAAAAGTAGCAAATCCTATGTGATGATCAGCATGAGAAAATTTGATTGGAGTCATTACGGAATACCATGTAGGTAATAGATTTAATAAAATAAGACACAACTTTGGAAATTGTTTCAGAATATGCCTCAATTTATATGAGAAAAATTGGAATCCGTTGATCCAAGAGCTTCCTCTGTTGACAGTTTCATAAAATTGTTAGATTTCTAGTTACGGTTTGTCAATCAGATCAAATTAAAAATAAAATATCGAACCAATGCTCTGCAAAACCTGGGTTATATTCACCTAGGTCACTTTTTCAAAATAATTCATGTAGTATATTATAAAAGTTGGTAGTTTTCATTGAATAGAATGGCTAGTTTGTATTCTGAAACTGATTGATTAGAAAACCAAAAACTCAGTTGTCATGTAGTCATACTCATTATGTAATTAATAAGCACAAATTGAAGAAACACACTCAATATTACTGATGTGGTTTATAGTAGCAAAAATAAAATAGAATATCTCTAAAAATATTTGTGTTCATTAATATGAAATAAATTTGTTACTGAAAATTATAGGAAATGTCTTAGTTCTCGTAATGTCAAAATATGTCATGCTCGATGCCACATTTAATGCTGTTCACATCTTAGCTCTTTTGTGTTTTTTATTTCAATATTTTATATATTCTCACCAGAATCATTGCTAAAACATTGTGTATAACAAAATCTTACGGAATTCACTGGCTTTTTTAGATCATGTTAGGCAAAATTCCAAGTCATCAATAGTTGTAATATAACATGAAACAAACTTAAATTTATATTATACTAGGGGATACCCCCTTTCTGCATAACGGCGGACCAACCCCCCATTTTACAAATAATAATAATAATAATAATGCTTTATTTATTCTGGGACGAGTCCCTTTAGAATAATACAGAAAGACAGAAATGTGGGCTAAGGAGCCTCTGAGATACATAAACAAAAATATAGAGTAAGTGAATAGTCAAAATAATAAAAGAAATTATAAGTTACTTTCTAATTTAATAATAAAAAAAAATGAAAAATTGGAAATAAACATGAAGTAAAAATAATAAAGAACGATCTGATAATTTATATACATATTTACAGTAGTAACTATTTACAATTTCATAGGGACTGGATGGATAAGAAATGATTGAACAGGCGGGTTTTAAAGGTAGGAAGAGTTTTGGATTGACGGATGTTGGGAGGGATTGGAGTTCCATAGGGATGAGGATTGGATAATGAAAGATCTGTCGAAGGCAGCAGTTCGGTGGGCCCTTATGTATAAATCAGAAGACCTGGAACGAACAGAAGATTTGAATTGAAGGAGCTCGGAGATGTATGAAGGAAGTTGGGATTGGATGACTTGAAAGAGTAAGAATGCCTGGAAATACGACGGTAGGAAGGATGAAGCCACTTCAACTCAGCATAGAAACGGGAAACAGAGACATCCCTTGGGATCCCGAAGATGAATCGTACAAAGTATTCACTATATATCTATTCAAAGGATTGGTTATTTTAAGGAGAGCGGATTGCGTTGAGTAACCAGGTCGAAAGCCAGATTGTAATGGATTGATAAGGGAACGTTCCTCTAGGAAGTTGGAGAGTTGATTTTGTACAAGGCGTTGTTCTAACGGCTTGGATATAAAGCAATTTATCCAACGTTTTAGCTTTGCCTCGAGATCCCCAGAGACGCCCCCATTTACCGTACAGCAATAGTCAAAGTGGGGGAAAATCAAGGAAGTTACTAGGAACCTACGGGTTTCAAGGGGAAATAGGTGACGGGAGTAATTTAGACGTTTTAAGGTGGAAATGGTACGGCGGGAGATGTCGGATATATGATTTTTCCAGGAAAGCGTTTGATCAAAGATCATTCCAAGGTTTTTGATGGGAGGATAGAATTTGATGGGATTATCATATAGGAACAGAGTTGGAATATTAGGAACAGTTTTAAGGAGGTGATTGGAGCCTATTAAGATTGCCTTCGTCTTTTCTGCATTCAAATTCAACTTGTTAGCTCTCGCCCAGTCACAAATCCTATCCAAGTCTTCTTGAAGTTTTTCTGTGGCTGATAATAGGTCGGTGGGCGGGAAGGACAGATATATTTGGAAATCATCTGTATAGATATGGTATTGGGAGTGATGGATCAGGAGGGGAAGGTTATTAATATAAATAGCAAACAGAGTAGGAGATATTGAGGGACACCACAGGAGAGGGGGAGGGTTTTAGATGGAGGTTGACCTGGGACCGATTTGAAAGGAAGGATTTGAACCCTGAGTTGGTTACAACTCAGGTTACTGTTGGATAGAGGAAGATTGTGTAATTTAGTGAGGAGGATGTTATGGTCAACTGTGTCAAACGCTTTGGAAAAATCTAGAAGGATGAGGATAGTAAGGTTTTGGTGTTCAATGGAGTTTTGGAGGTCATTGGTTATTTTAAGGAGAGCGGATTGCGTTGAGTAACCAGGTCGAAAGCCAGATTGTAATGGATTGATAAGGGAACGATCCTCTAGGAAGTTGGAGAGTTGATTTTGTACAAGGCGTTGTTCTAACGGCTTTGACAGGTTGGAAAGGACAGAAATAAGTCGGAAGCCGTTCAGTGAGGTAGGGTTGGGAATTTTATTCAAAGGTCGGACTAGGGCAGTTTTCCAGGAGGATGGGAATATAAAGTTTTGTAATGAAAAGTTGTAGATATGGTTAAGGACAGGAAGGTTGGATTTTATTAATTTCACTGGAATATTATCAGGACCATAATCATTAGTGTGGGATTTCAGGATAGTGGAAAGTAATTCATTGTAGGACACATGGAAGAAAAAGAAGTCTTCTGGATTGAAATTATGATGTTTGAATTCGAAAGTAGGAGAAGAATTGTGATTGAAGGATAAGAAATGGTCATTGAGATCATCTGGAGTTACCGGGATGGAACTGAGTTTATTGGATTCTGGTAGGGATAGGTTACGGAGTATTTTCCATTTGGATTTGGAATCGGGAGCATTGGAAAGGGCATTATGAAAGTAGGTGGCTTTAGCAAGTCGGATTGTGAATTGGGTTCCATTGCGAAGTTCCTTGAAAAACGCATAATCAGCAGGCAAACGTGTTCGACGGTATTTGCGCCTTGCTGCATTCCTTTTTCTCATCATTTCCTTTACTTCAGGAGTCAGCCAAGGTGCAGTAGGACGACGTAAGGTTCTGGTTTTCAGAGGAACTCGGGTGTCTAATAAGGATTGTAGGTTTGAGATTAGGACAGATATATCATAGGATCGTTGGAATTATAGGACGATATGATATCCCATTGGAAAGAATCAAGATCAGGCTGAAGGGATTCATAAGAAAGAAGGTTTAAATTACGGTATTAGACCTTTTTGGGAGTAAAGGATTTCACGGGTAGGTCATATATAATTTGGATCAGGTCGTGTGATGAAAGAAATGGGTGTTAGGAAGAGGAGAGGATTTTCATGTGAGATTCAGAGTTGTAGAGGTCTAACCAGGTGTCGCAAAATTGCGTGTGATGGATAGGAGAATAAAGAACAAGATAAAGATTAAGGGAAAACAGTTGGTCAGTAAGGAAATATTTTTCAGGAGATTGTGAGAACATATTTACGTTAAAATAGCCGGTGATAATAATATTGCTATAATGGGAAACCAGGTTGAAAAGAGAGGATTCAAAGAAGTTATTGAATGGAACAAGAGGAGGGCGGTAAGCGATGGCAAATAACAGAGGAGTGGTGATAGAGTAAATTTCAACGAACATGTATTCCATGTGAGGAAATTCATGAGAAGGAGAATTTTGGCCTTAATACTTTCATGAACGTACAATCCGACACCACCTCCTGTGCGATCAGATCTGTCGTGGCGTAGAAAACAATAATTGGGCAGGGAAATCTGGGAGGAGGGGATAAAATGTTTTAACCAGGTTTCAGATATTGCTATTATGTGGTAACAATTATCAAGGAAATGGTTCTGAAATTCATCGTAGTGTGCAGTAAGGGATTGTGCATTGGTGTGACAGGAATTCAGGATATTAGTCATGACTGGA